CCAACCAACCAACCAACCAACCAACCAACCAACCAACCAACCAACCAACCAAGCAGCATTCACTTTCACCTGTGAAGCCTGCGGTGACACAGTACATTCTGGTGGTGAGGAAGGAAAGCTGCTTGGATTACTGTGGCCAGGAAGCAGAGGAAAGCACTAGAATCTGATATTCCAGCAAGAACACACCCCCAGTGACCCAATCCTCCAGGCTCCACCCCCACATTCTACTTACTCAGCAATGCCACTATCAACCTGGGACCAAGTCTTTAATGTATGGCCTTTGGGGGGACACATTTAGGATTCAAACCATAACAAGGTATTTTGAATGACACCAACTAGGCCAGCACCTGCAGGAACAATTCTGCACTGACCTAGCTTTGAGTTCACATGGTTTAACCTTGATGCTGAGACAAGAGAAGGTTTTTTTGTTTGTTTGTTTGTTTGTTTGTTTGGATTTGGTTTTTGGAGACAGGGTTTCTCTGTGTAGCCCTGGCTGTCCTGGAACTCACTCTGTAGACCAGGCTGGCCTCGAACTCAGAAACCTGCCTGCCTCTGCCTCTGAGAAGGTACTTTTTTTTTTTTTTTTTTTTTTTTTTGTTGGTTTTTCGAGACAGGGTTTCTCTGGGTAGCCCTGGCTGTCCTAGAACTCACTCTGTAGAGCAGGCTGGCCTCGAACTCAGAAATTCGCCCACCTCTGCCTCCCAAGTGCTGGGATTAAAGGTGTGCGCCACCATCGCCCGGCATGAGAACGTACTTTTTAAAGGTAAAGTAATAAATACACATAAACCTGTCTAAGCGAGCCAGAAGAGCCGGAAGATACTCAAATGTGCAGAGATGATAAATTTGCTCCCAGTTAATATAACCTGGGCTTTTTAAGAACTCCTTTTTGAACTTTAAAGCAGAAGCATGTTCCGACTTACAACCAGAGTCTGGTGGCACTGACATAACACCATCAGACAAGCAGCTGGAAGTGCAGTCTAAGCGGAAACCCTGGGATGCTGTGTGAGAGTGTCTGCTGCAAGGATCAACACAGCCATTTGTAACAGAAAATAGTAAAGGTTTTTTAATACTTGGTAACTTTTTTCAATGTGTGTCCTTTAATTTTCTTTCCTACCAGTAAGTCTACTCCACCCACGAGTCTCCTCAGTTACTGCAGTGGGCTGTGGCTTTCTTGGGTCATAAACCCAAAGTCACCTTTCACTACTCGAACTCACTTGTGGCCTTAAGCTAACTCCACATCCACCAGCACCCTTCAATTCTCTACAAGTCAGATCCTGCCGCTCCTCCGCTAAAAACCCCATGAGCTGTGCACTATCAGATCGCCCCTTGATTCTGATGCTGCAGCCCCATTTCTGACCGTTGCACACAGCCTTTTGTTGCAGGGCCTTCCCATGGCTGTGTGCTCTGATTGGGGTATTCTTCCTTCCCAATGTACCTTGGCTTTGTTGTTTGTATCCTCATCTGCTTAACTGGTCCAGTCTGGCTGGAACCCACACTCCTTCCATCAGCCACCATAGTACCAGGAAGCTCAGTGTGACTCATGTCCAATATTTAAGTTGCAAACTTGTGCCTCTCTAGGTTTTCTCTTTATTCAGTATTATTTCTCTGCATATAATGTATAACCTCTGGAAAGAATGTTACTTTTTTTAATGTTTCATTTCCTTAAAAGGAAAACTACCCGAAGGAAGTAATTTGGTTTTATTCATAGCTATATCCCAGTACCTAAAACACCTAAATATCTGATGAACAAATGGCCATGCCAAATGGCTGGGTGTGAAACGGCATCTGAACTGGGAGGTCTAGCTGGAAAAGCGTAGGAGAGATGAACCAGGGTCCTATGAGAGCAAGCCCCAGAACACACAGGAACAGGACTACAGGAATGGGCATAATAGCCAGATGACGCTCTCAGAGGGAAACTCCAAGCTGATTTCAGATGTGTCTTTGGCACAGACAAAGAAAGCAAATGTTCCCACGTTTGTCCAAGTGTCTTTACACTCACCTTTATAAAGGCTGTGGATGCTCGTCATAAACATTTGTGTTCTGATACTTCTGAAAAAATGTTTGCAAGATAAAAATATAAAAATAAAATATACAAAGTTCTTCATTAAAATAGTACCTTAATAAGTCCATTTAAAAGCAGAGCCAGGAATGGATCCTGACATAATAGGCGCAAGGTTTTTGAAGCAATCATATGACCACCCCCAGCCTCCCCCTGACAGTGAGACGGTAAAGAATGTCCTCCAGGAACTTCTACTTCAGGGTTAAGAAGTAGCTGAGGGATGGCTCCATTCTATTTGCCTTTTTTGGCCTTGGCTGTTTTTTCCTTTCTTTTTTTTACATGTTTAGGGATTTTATTTTTTCTCTTCTCTCTCTGGGCTTCTTTGACCATCTTTTTTCTTTCCTGTAAAAAACAAACAACCCACCCCCAACAAAATTTCATTCATTCAGTGTATTGAAATTCTTTAGAACTAAATTAAAATTAATATGTTAAGCAGATAAAAGTATATGTAGCATAAAAAAAATCACAATTACAGGTTAGCGAGTACAACTTTGCTTTGCGGCTCCCTGCATCTCACTTCTCCCGGCCCCTCCCCTCCTTTCATATCCCCGCCTTCTTTCCTCAAGAGGGTCTCACTCATAATTCAGACTATCCTTAAACTCCTGAGGCTCAAGTGATCTTCTCCCCGCTCAGTTTCCAAGTGCTGGGACAATAGGAACCTGTCATTATATTCAGGTGACCTTTCTTCCCCAGCTCCCCAACCCCAGCCCATCTACTACTAAGCTACACCCTGTCCCTTGACCTTGTCCCTTGAAATTATAGACAGTCAAATCAATATCCCTGTATATGGGACTTGATGTTTTAAGTTTTAAGAGAAAAAATGGTTAGAAAGAAACAAACACTTGCTTCTAGTAAACGGACACAGTGTGTGCTCTGTGTGATGTTAAAGCTCCTAACAGCAGCCACGTCTCTAATTTACTGCACAAGTAAAGTCTGTGTTTAGTTACGGAAACTACAGGTAGAGGCAGCATGGATGTTTGAGGGCTCCCACACTCAAGAGGAGTAAGATCTTGACTAACCTTTTTATCGATGTCAGGGTCAGCAAGATGGTTTCTGCATCCGGCTTGATCTTCCTGCTCTTCTGAGTATGTGTCAGAGCACTCAGAGCTCCCAGCATCGTCTGAACCAAAACAAGTCTCTTCCTTAACTTCACTTTCTAGGAGTGCAGGGACCTTGAAATTATTACAGGACAATGTTATTTGAAGCCATGTACTTCAATTTGTAGTCAACATGCTTATGCCATCATTTACATCAGTATGTCAGATACTCTTTCAAGTTAAGCACTGAGACATCAAAATAGAATCAACATTAGGGAGAACGATGGTAACAACCATTCACTTCGGTAGGACTCAAGAACATACGCAAAGGAATTAGCAAGGGTGTCCAATCTTTTGACAGTGCAACATGATGCTGTCATTTACAAATGTGTTGGGTTACATTCACAGCTATCCTGGCATGCATATCTGATTACTAGGTTATTTGGGTGGCCTAAATTAACAACACAACTCTGCTACTTTTGACGAGACAGATGACTGAGCTGGGATTTGGACAGAATGTAAAATTCAGAGGTGGTGGTGGGAGCAGTAGTGGTAGTAATGGAGTAGTAGTAGTAAAATCTATTTGGATGACTTCACAACTGTCTTCCTGTGTACTACACTACTATCAATAAGCTAACCTAACCAAAATGAACAGTCAATCAAGAGGAGGTCTCCTTTTCTCTGAAATTAACCAATTAGTTAACTTTTTGCTTCTTTTTTGAGACAGGTCTCATTAGACAGTCCAAGCTGATCTTAAACTTTCCATTTCCTTCTCTTACAGAGAAGTGAATGGGTCTGGGAACTGAACTCAGGTCCTCTGGAAAAGCAGCAAGATCTCTGAACTACTGAGCCAACTCTCCAGCCCTGACATTTTTTAAAAGTGATTTTAAAAACTACTATAAAAGGTATATGGCTATCATTAATTACCCCTGCATCAAAGAAGACCAGGATTCATGACAAATATCTCACATTTAACAGAAGAATTCAGAGACAAAATAAGTACATTTCCAAATGTAATTCTAATACCACTCTATTGTAACTTTCATATCTTCAAACTTTTATAAACTTCAAAAAGAGTATCCACAGGCTGGCAAGATGGCTCACCAGGTAGCCTGACAATCTAAGTTGGATCCCAAAGACCTCTGAGGTAGAAAGGTGTCTCCTGACCACCACACATGTGCTATGACATACTTGTGAGCACTCACACAAATAAATGAAGTATTTACAGAATAAATTCTGTTATAAAGCAATAACATATGTTTTCATACCTTCTGGACTCCTGACAAATCTTTTTTCAATCCTGTGACAGTCTGGTATAGAATCTTATAAACAAAAGGAAAATGAATATAAGTATAATAATAAATATACATATGTTAATGTATAAAAACCGACAATAATATGTATATGCTGTACCATTAAGCATGCTCCTATATAACACTGCTCCTGTGACTCTAAGAATGCGCTCAAAATCTATCACACAGTAATCCAGAAAGTATGGCCCATGTTTATTCTTGTGTCGCAGGTATGCATCTCTACAGGCTCAATACAATCAAACCTGGTCGTTTTCAGATGAGCTCCGCGACCCACAAGATGACAACAAATACTAATTTGGACTTTATTCAGTGAAATGTAACCCATTCCACAAACAATCCTATTCTACTCTCACCAGCAGATCTACATGGCAAACACTGTAGTTATTACTAACAGTGCTTTAAAGGGGTTGGAAAGACGGCTTAGCGATTAAAAGCGCATGCTGCTCAATGCTGAGAAGCAGAGCTAGGATCCCAGCACCTATATCCGGTGGCTCGGAAAGCTCCAAGGGCTCCAACACCCCTTCTGGCCTGGGAGCACACACTAATGTATACATGCAATCACACAGGCACATAGATTCTTTAAAAGTGCTTTTAGGACAGAGAGCTAGCTCAGCAGCGTAAGGCACTTGCCATGAGAACCTGACTGTGATCTGCAGAAGCCACACAAAGGAGAGAAGTGATCAACAAAGCTGTCCTCTGGCCTTCCTAAGGCACCGTGGCATGTGTGCTGACACATGTCTAACACACATGGTAATATATTCTTAATGCTTTTGTTTCATGCATGAAAATCTGGAGAACACTTCTTCACTCTTTATATAAAAACTTATATATAAACAGCTAAATTTTGCTACATGGCTGCAAAGCCTCAAGGGTTACTTTCTGGTCCATTAACGACAATAATTTTTCCCCAAGGGAACTGGAGAGATGCACTGTGGCTAAGCACTTGCTCTGCTCATGCAGAGACCGAATCTGGTTTCTAGCACCCATGCAGGGAAGCTTACAATCCCTCTTAACCCCAGCTCCAGGCAATCCTAACACCTCTGGTTTTCAAGGACACCAGCATTCCCTCATGTGTATATATCACCCTCTCACACATAATTAAAGATGATATAAATATTTTAAACATTCCTTCAAATACGTATGAATTGGAAGCACAGCATTATCAATCTACTACAACCACTTTTATTCCTCAACTTCGCCTTTTTACTAACTATAGTTCTCTGGACACATGCAATACATCACCACTCTCTTAAATGTCTTAGAGCCAACACGTACGGAAGCATGTTTGTACAAAGGGAGCTGACCGTCTCACTGGCAGCAGGCTACTCACATTGTCTTGCTGAGCACTCAAAGCCATGTCTTCTTCCTTTAACCTCACCATTATGTCCACGTCCCTCTCATAAGTCTTTACTTCATTTAAGGTCCTGGGAATATACGCTTGTTTGAACACCTAGGAAAAGAAAGCAAAATCAGACTGTTATTCCGGCAATCTTCCCATCATCCTTCAGTGTCCTTAGCTGGCCGGGCTGTGGTGGCCCACAACTTTAATCCCAGCACTCGAGAGGCAGAGGCAGGTGGATTTCTGAGTTCGAGGCCAGCCTGGTCTACAGAGTGAGTTCCAGGATAGCCAGGGCTACACAGAGAAACCTTGTCTCAAAAAAACAAAAACAAAAAACAAACAGTGTCCTTAGCTGTATCAATCATGCAGGAATGTATTATCATCTCCAACGCTGACTTTCACTCAACCTGTGTACACACTGATGTCATGTCTGCTATGTGGTAAGCTAAAAACAATTTGGTAAGCTAAAAATGAAATTTTACAACTGATTTAGGGAAGACAGGGAGTGTATTCCATTGATCCTTAGAGTAGCACTTCTCCCACACATGCACACTTCAAAGGGCATCCGAGGAAGGACAGGATAGACAGCAAGGACGGCCTGGCTGTGAACAACTGATACCCAGTACTCTTACTGTGTGGGAATATCTCTACCCAGCGGCCACAAACGTTTGAGAAAAATAAGCTACAATTAAAATAATAATAAATATAACAATAATAAACCTACTGTGAACCTTAACGAGCACATCTTGACTTGGTTTTCATTTTTTTTTTTTCTTTTTCTTTTTTCTTTTGATTTTCCAGACAGGGTTTCTCTGTGTAGCCCTGGCTGTCCTGGAACTCACTCTGTAGACCAGGCTAGCCTTGAACTCAGAAATCCGCCTGCCTCTGCCTCCCAAGTGCTGGGATTAAAGGCATGCGCCACCACCACCCGGCTCAATTTTAATATTTAACAAAGTATTTAAAGTCTGTTATAACACAATCAACAATATAGGCCATTTAAAAATTCATACTTGCAAATGAATATGCTTTTCCTTCTTGACTCACACCCCACAAGCTCTTTCAAAACTCTACTTGAACAACAGGCTAAAAGGTTGCTGAGTGCAGCAATATAACTGAATGTAAATTAAATACCGTGTGTCTAAAAATCAAGTTCATGCTTCATCAACCGCAACAAAACCTCGGGAAATCCTGTAACACAGAACCAGCTGGAAATGGTGGGACACACTCAGAGCTCTAGCCATCAGGCAGCTGAAGCACAAAGAGTGCTAGTGTGAGGCCAGCCTGGGCTGCGCATCAAGTTCTAAGACAGCCTGGTTTATATGAAAAGACCCTGTCTCAAAACACACAACAGAACACCCCAGAGTTCCAAGCAAAACCCACAAGTGTTCCCCAAGGCTGTGAATACGCAATAAACACCCACCTCTTCATCCACATGATCTTGGCTAGTCTTTTCTTCCTTGGTCCTTTGGGATGCTATTTCCATAGCCTTTGAAAGAAAGCAAAAAAATTATTTTCCTTTACATTTACCCTAGCAGACACATTTTCTATTTTGTAATGAACCGTTTGGTTTTTTTTTTTTTTTTAAATCTTCACAGGTGTCACATCTTCACACTTGTCTATCTAGTGAGCGTCTACAAAGTAGGCTAGCTCTCTATCAAATACTAGCTGGTCATTTAAAAAGAACTAGAATAAACTCCTCTAGCCTCGAGGTATCTTTAGTGCCTTCTTCAAAAGTCACCACGGGGTGTAGCTCTGGTAGAACACTGGCCTGGGATCTACAAAGCCCCACACCCAGCACCAGCATCACTCACACCCACACCCGACTCATGGCCAAGACAAGAATGATTTTTTTAAGCTTAATTTAAACTATTTGCAGAAATCTTTATCAGAAGAAAACTCAGACTAAATAATGAACCATTTCTTGAACCTTGAAAAGTCAGTGAAATGCATCACAAGAAAGGTAAACATGTTGTCCTAATGCCGCTACAGTACAGATCACCAAGAAAGTCGCTTGGACAACAGTTAACTGTAAGGAGACATAGACTCTATACAGGGTTCTTCTTCTGACTTATAAAAACAGTTCTCTAGTTAAAATATAGGGAGAGGGTCAGAGAGGTGGCTTGGTGGTTAAGAGCATGGACTATTCTTCCAGAGGACCAGAGTTCAATTCCTAGGACCCACACATTGGAGAGCTCACAACTGCCTGCTACACCAGCTTCAGGGATATCCAGGGCCTCTGGCCTATATAAGCATACACACACACGTGCATACCTATATGTATACAGATTAAAATAAAAGTATATCTTTCAGAAATATATAAAGAGAAGAAAAGAACATTTATTTTCTTTTTTTTTAAGTATAGAATCAATACTAATAGAGATAAAGAATGAATGAAAATGGCCCCCACAGGCTAAGGAGCAGCATTATTTGAAAGGATTAGGACATGAGGCCTTGTTGGAATAGGAGAGGCCTTGTTTTAGAAAGCGTGTCACTGAGGTGTTGTTAGGTTTCAGAAGCTCAAGCTAGGCCCAGTAGCTCACTCTCTCTTCCTGCTGCCTATCGATCCAATGCAGAACCTCTCAGCTACATCTCCAGCACCATGCCTGCCTCTGAGGCTACAGGCTTCCCACCATGATGGTAATGGACTAAACCTCTGAACTGTAAGCCAGCCTCAATGAAATGCTGTCCTTTATAAGTGTTGCTGTGGCCATGATTTTTCTTCTTTTTTTTTTTTTTTGGTTTTTTGAGACAGGGTTTCTCCATGTAGCCCTGGCTGTCCTGGAACTCACTCTGTAGACCAGGCTAGCCTCTAACTCAGAAATCCGCCTGCCTCTGCCTCCCAGGTGCTGGGATTAAAGGCGTGCGCCACTACTGCCCGGCGGTCATGATTTTTCTTCACAGCAAACAAAACCCTAAGACATGTAGTTGCCTAGTACAAAGTCAGGTACCAACAATATACAAATAAAAATTCTGTCCCTCAAGAGTTCATCATCTGCCAAACACGGTGGTGCACTATGACCCTGGCACTTGAGGCAGCAGCAGGAGGAGCATAAGGTCAGGTGAGCCAAGGCTACAAAGTAAGACGATCTAAAGGAAACAAAAACCCACAAAGAAACACACAAATAAATAGGCTGGAGATGTGTTCAGTTGCAAACTGTCAGCACAGCGTGCACTGAACCCTTGGTTTACCCCAGCACTGCATAAACTGGAACAGACGGTGTGCTGCAGTGATACTCTCAGAACCCAGGAGACAGAGGCAGGAGAACCACAAGTTCACATTCATCCTTGGTTTTACAGAGTCTGAGGTAGCGGGGATATAGAAAAAAAATACTGTCTCAAAAAAAAAAAAAGAGAGAGAGAGAAAACCATGCCCCTGAAATCACTGTTCCCCCTGAATCTCCCCTTGAGACAACTGTCTGACCCGAGTTTTAACATTCTCCAGACAGAGCAAGATGAACAAGGGCCAAGGTGGACAGGCACTCCAGGGGAAATGGGAACACAAGAATCTTGACTCAGAAGTGACACAAATGGATTATGTCAAAATATAAAACTTCTGTTTGGAGACCAAAGGGTACAGTCAGACAACACCCACAAAAGCAATGTGCAGGCATTTGTCTTGTCAGGAACCCTGGCTGTTCAGTTTTCACCAGCCTTGAGTTGGGGTGTTTTCTTCTGCCTGTGTGTTTGCCTTTTTCCCCAAGTTCCCAGCATGGGCTTCAGATGGCTCAAAACCACCTGTAACTCCAGCTCCAGGGGATCCAATAACGTCTGGCCTCCTTGGGCATCTACACACATGGAGCATATGGTCACACAAAGACACATATCTACATATTAAAAACCAATGTGATTTTACTTATTAGCAGTACCAAGAGAAGCAGAATGCAGGCAGAACAGTGGTTTCCAGGAGCTGGTGAGGGCTGGTAAGCACAGGTTCAGTACTTGATGATTAGAAAAAAAGTTCTGAAGACAGAAATCAGTGGTTTACACAATAATTTGAATGTATATAAGGTCATGCATGTTTTACCACACGCATGACAGTTTTCTCACTAAACATATGGAGGTTGACAGTTGTCACAATTTCTCTGTAATCTTGGCAGTTGAGGAAAGTCAAGAAACCTGTTTCTACTGACTTCTTTACTGTTTTTAATCTCACTGTGAAACAATAAGTGCTAAGAAGTTATTAAGATGAGTAACGACAATGAGCCAACTAATGACTGAACCCCTCAGCTACGCCACACGAAGGCAAGCCATCCTTACTCCTGCCCTCTCCTCAGCCCGTCTTACCTTTTCCAGGTAAGCGTCCATGTTGTCAGCGGTGACGGAGGGATCTGTGACGAACTCGAAGAGCTCCCGCACAGTCATCACAGCAACGGCATGCTTGAAAAAGAAATCTGTCGGAAGGAAGAGCATCAAGGACAGCTCTATAAAGGGAACAGTTACTACCCCAGCAGAGGAACAGAGAAAGAAATAACCATGCCCCATCTCCCGCCAATGGCTTAAGTGGCACTGTATTGAGCAATTCAGTAACAAGACTTGTTTGTCAGCACTAGGGCTCAAATGCATGGCCTTGCATGTGGCTTTCCACACGAGACAAATGTAGCATTCCTATGCCAGACTGCATTCCCACTTCAAGTGACAAGACCTTATCCCAGTGCTTCTCAGCCTTCCCAACACTGTGACCCTTTAATACAGTTCCTCATGTTGTGGTGAACCCCAACCATAACAATATTTTCTTTTTTTCTTTTTCTTTCTTTCTTTCTTTCTTTCTTTCTTTCTTTCTTTCTTTCTTTCTTTCTTCTTTTTTCTTTTTTTGGTTTTTCGAGACAGGGTTTCTCTGGGTAGCCCTCGCTGTCCTGGAACTCACTCTGTAGACTCAGAAATCCACCTGCCTCTGCCTCCCAAGTGCTGGGATTAAAGGCATGCGCCGCCACCACCGCCCGGCAGCATAACAATAATTTCATGGCTACTTCATAACTGTAATTTTGCTACTGTTATGAATCATCATATAAATATCTGATATGCAGGATATCTGATGTGACTCCTGTCAAAGGGTCATTTGACCTCCACAGGGGTTGAGACTCATAGGCTGAGAAATGCTGCCTTATCCCATATATGCAAGCACACTTTCTACTCACCATTGACATTGGCACAGTCTTTTCTCAAGAACTCCAATGCATGTGGGTGGTCATGCTCCACAGACTGGGAAACATCAATGATGTACACATCTCCACCATGGTACCTTGTGGGCAATAAGCACAGAAGTTGTACGTTACTACCATGCTCTTTTTTTTTTTTTTTTTAAATCTATTCTGAAATCAGTTATGGTGGTACATGCTGGCAAGATTTGCTGAAGGAGGCAGAGGAGGGAAGATCAGGCCAGAGTGGGCCACCCTGGGCTACACATTTTTAGCTAGGTGTAGTGGTACATTCCTTTAATCTCAGCACTTGGGAAGCAGAGGAAGGTGGATCTTGGTGAGTTCAAGGCCAGCCTAATCTACAAAGTGAATTCCAGTAAAGCCAAGCTATGAACAAAGATCCTGTCTCAAAAAACAAAAACAAATAAACAAACCAAAAAATCTATTCTCTTGTTTATTTTGGATAGGTTCTCTCTTTATAGCACAGGCTAGCCTCAAACTCTTCTCCTCTTGCCGCTGCTTTCTAAGTGCTGAGATTACAGTCATACAGGACTATACCTAGTTTTAAAAAAAGTCATCCATCTTAAGTAATTTATAAATGACTACAGCAGATGAAAAATGATCCTAACTAATGAAAGCTGAAAAAACAGAGAAAATTTCAAAGCCTATTATATTAAATCAGCTAAAAACGCTTCCCTCCTGATACCTTGTGCAGGGGATGGAAGCCAAAGCATCACACATACACAGTCTAGACAACTGCTTATCAATCAAGCTACACACTCAGTCCTCCACAGTGGTGTACTCTGTGGTCAGCGAAGACAGTGGCCACATCTTAACTCTTAGAGGGAAGCAAAACAGCACAGTGTGACATGGCAGATTAGGATTTTCTTGTACTGACGTATATGAAATAATTACAGTAAGTTTCCAGGAAACAAACCACACTCACAGCATGTTGAATTCACTGAGATCTGCATGGACAAGTCTAGCATCCTGATACATTTTCCTCATGTACTGAATGACCTGCAGGTACAACTCCCGTGCCTTGGACTCTGACAGCTGGACGTTTTTCAAGAGTGGTGCAGGCCTGGAGTGAAAAGGGAATGGAGATAAACACATCACCATCAGGTTTTCTGGCCTCACTCCACAGTGTCCACACACCTCTCTTCTGTAACTCGTCATGTGAACTGACAAGGGAATAACGAACGCCACTCCAAACGCTGACAGTTACAGGTGCTTTTCCAAAACCTTAATAAACTAAACATCCCTCAAAAGCACAGTTACTTTTGTTATTCTGAAGCACTTTGAAACCTCACAATGGTGAATCATAGCAATTATGCACTAACACAGGAATAATGAAGAGAAAAATGAGAAGTAATCACCTAGTACACGGCTCACATGGTTTCACCATAAAACTCTTTAACGTTCCACATACTTACATGTCATCCTTGCCAATAAAGCCCATGAGAAGAACATGACTTCTTAGCCTGATTGGTTCTGGACATGGTATGTTGGCTGTTTGTAGCCTGTGATGTAGATAAAGGACAATTGGAAAGTCAAAAGACAGAAACACATTAGAGCAGTTACAGACCGTGAGCTGACACTGCTATTAGAAAACAGCACCGAGCTCTCTGAACTACACTGCTACTTCATAACGAAGTCATTTTATTTTGTTTTTAGTTTTTTTGTTTTGGTTTTTCGAGACAGGGTTTCTCTGTGTAGCCCCGGCTGTCCTGGAACTCACTCTGTAGACCAGGCTGGCCTCGAACTCAGAAATCCACTTGCCTCTGCCTCTCAAGTGCTGGGATTAAAGGCGTGGGCCACCACCGCCCGGCTCCAATTCATTTTAAATGTCACCATTATGTGCCATCGAGAATATCAGAGCACGGATAAGCAAACCTGTAACACCCAATCTACTTCTAGAGGTGTTAAACACTGAAGAGAAAGTATACCTCAAGACTGATGAGACAGCAGCTATGTCAACAATTATCTTTTGAGTTTACTAATGTCTAAAATAAAGCAAATCACTACACACACCTCAAGGCCAGTTACACACAGGAATATTTCCAAAACAAATGGTGCTGGCTTAATAGCAAACTGTAACTATGGATAACACATAAAAAGTTAAAAGACATTGGAAAGGGAGAGGAAAGAGCCATAAACTTTGAGAAAACTAGCTAAGTGTCCTTTCTTTACAGTAGTTTCAGAAAAATGACTATACGAATCTGTCCTACACTGGACTGAATAAGAGAAGCAAGTGACTAACCAGAGCCAAGAGCCTGACAACATTTATCTATAACCCCTGGTTTGGTTTTGTTGTTGTTTTTGCTTGTTTCGTTGTTTTTTTGTTTGGTTGGTTTTGAGCCAGGGTTTCTCTGTATAGCCCTGGCTGTCCTGGAACTCACTCTGTAGACCAGGCTGGCCTTGAACTCAGAGATCCACCAGCCTTTGTCTCTCGAGTGCTGGGATTTAAGGTGTGAGTCACCACTGCCCAGCTCCCCTGTAATTTTTTCAAATGACAGTCTTACCATTATTATTACTGTCTTAAAATCCTATAAAAAGCCTTATCTCAAAACAAATTCTACATGTTTTCACATGGCTTCAGACTCTTCAGAATAGCAAAATTTGTCTATATCATTCACCATAATAATAGAGCTACATCGTCTAATGGGTCCCGTCTGCTTGGAAAGGGCAGAGCACAGATACCCAGACAGACATGGTTAAGCATATGCACTACAAACCACCTCACACACCAGCAGTTACCTGCGCAAATTCCTCATCTCCTTCTCTGCCCATGTCTTCACCATTTTTCTAGGGTTTCCTTTACAATAGCCACGGCGGAACCTAGAGCAAGCAAACATCTGTTAATCACCGAATTATACTACTTTAGCACTTGAGGGAAAAGGAATTCAAGAATCTGGGCTCACCTGAATTCCCCAGTCACATACTTATCACGATCTTTGAACATCAAAATAGAAGTTTTGTATATTTTGATTGCTCTGCTCTCTCCACTGGATGTGCTAGCATAGTATACATTAGCCTATTTTAAGAAAAAAAAAAAAACATGTTAAATAACTAGTGTCAGTGATTCTAACCTCAAAAGTAAACTGAAATAACGACACCACTGTCCTCTCTTGAAGGTGTGAATTAAAATAGGAAACATTGTATGACAATAAATATACCTCTAGCACACATTCGTATGTCACCCTGTGACATTCTGGTCAATGGCAGGCCCTATATGCCAGAGTGGTCTCAAGAGACCTTATCTCCGGGCTGGAGCGACGATGGCTCAGCAGTTAAGAGCACTGACTGCTCTTCCAAAGGTCCTGAGTTCAATTCCCAGTAACCATATGGTGGCTTACAACCATCTGTAATAGGATCTAATGCCCTCTTCTGGTGTGTCTCAAGACAGCTACAGTAGTGTACTCACATAAATATAATAAATAAATCTAAAAAAAAAAAAAAACCTTAAAAAAAAAAACCCAGGCCTTATCTGTAGTGATGCCACAGCAGTCTTAGGTTCCTAGTATACAAAACTGCTTAATGACCCACTCTCCCAACATAGCCTATTGTTACAAGAGGCACACAAGATACAGAAAAGCCTCACACATATATCTCTGATGAAGATTTTCTTACATCTAATTAACATCCACAGAAAATGAGCTGCTAACTGTGGTGGTCTGACTGAGAAATGTCTTCCACAGGTCACGGGTCTGAAGCCCTGGCCCGTGGGTGTGCTTATGTTCAGAGCCTGTGGGACTCTGAGAGGCACAGCTTTGCTGGAGGGAGCATGTCACAGGCGGCAGGCTTAAAATGAACAGCCTGGGCTGCGTCTAGCTCACTCTGCTTCCTGCCGCCGTGCTCCTCCCTGCCATCAGGGACCCTCGATCCTGAACCCTAAGCTGAAATAAACGGTCTTCCTTAAGCTGTTCTTGGTCATGTATTTTATCACAGCAAGGGAAGAATAACATGACTGTTTTTTTCTAAGGTCACGCTTAGCCTTTAAACACAGTACATAGGAGGCATAGGAGTTCAAGGCCAGCCTGGTCTACAGAGTGAGTTCCAGGGTACCAGGACAGCCAGGGCTACACAGACAAACCCAAACCCTGTCTAGAGAAAAAAATGTCACTTATTTTTCTAGACTTACAAGTAAAGGAACAAGACTGGCTAAAAGAAATGAGCCCATAAACCTCATTCGTTAGCAGTAATTTTAAATCGGGACTCAGGACCACAGTAATCTGACAATCTAAGCTCACTGCTCTACACACAAACCTGGGAAAACAATAAAGCAATCACAGTAAGTTACACATACAGTTTCTTATCAACTGACTACCAAGCAAGATAATTCTAGATACATTGTTAATAAACTATCTGGTATATATAGCTTTTTCTCTCTTTTTTCTCTGTGTAGTCCTGAGTACCCTAGAACTTGCTTTGTAGACCAGGCTGGCCTCAAACTCACAGAGATCTGACTGCCCCTGCCTCTGAGGGCTGGAATTCAAGGTGTATGTCACCACAGCCAGCTTGCTTTCTTTTTTGACAGGGTTTCTATAAGTAGCTCTAGTTGGCCTAGAATTTGCAATACAGACCATGCTGGCCTGGAACTCACAGAGATCTACCTGATTCTGCCTCCCAAGAAATGGGATTAAAAGTGTATGCTATAGTGCTTGGCTTTCTTTTGCCTTTAAGGCACAAATTATAAAGAGCCTTAGTTTTTCTGGGTATTTGAAACAAGAAAATTAATATGAAAATACTGTTGCCGGGCGGTGGTGGCGCATGACTTTAATCCCAGCACTTGGGAGGCAGAGGAGAGTGGATTTCTGAGTTCGAGGCCACCCTGGTCTACAGAGTGAGTTCCAGGATAGCCAGGGCTACACAGAGAAACCCTGTCTCGAAAAAACAAAAAAAAAAAAAAAAAGAAAGAAAGAAAAAGAAAATACTGTCACCCAACAAAAGCTCACTCACTTCTTTTCCAGTGCTTATGCAGCCATGTATCTCTGATATGTGGTCTTTATGCAACAACTTGAATAAAATCATCCTTGTTCTGGGATCCAAAACCTAAAAATTAAAAAAAAAATTTTTTTTAAAGTACAATCATGAAAACAAATCACACAAAATTAAAAAGCAGCAAATACACCAAGAGTGATCAAGATGGCTCAGTGAATGAAGGTGCATGCCACCAGGCTCGTGACCCAAGTCTCATTGCCCCAGAACCCACCAACATATAGGTGAGCGAATGGAACGAACCCTGACTTTCACAGAGGCCCCGTTGCACAGGCACTGCCTTCCCCATCATGCACACACACAGTTCGGTTTGGTCTCTGCTGCTGTGATAAACACTATGACCAAAACAATGTGGGGGAAAGGTTTGTCTCATCTTACTCTTGCAGAAAATAGTGCTCGGCTGAGGGAAGTCTGGGTAGAAGCTGGACGCAGGAACTGAAGCAGAAACCATGGAGGAAAGCTGCTGACCGGCCTGCTTTCTACACACTGCTCAACTTGCTTTCTTATACAACCCAGGATGCCCAGCTCATTCTTATACTACCCAGGTTCAGGGTGGCATCACCCCACAGTGGGCTAGTACACAAACTTGCCTACAAAGCCAATCTGATGGAGACAATTCCCCCCTGAAGGTTCCCTTTTCCCAGGTGGCTCTAGTTTGTAGTAAGTGGACAAAAACAAAAAGCCCAAACAATATAACATATAATAACAAGTTAACACTATAGATAACCACTTTTGTGTGCAATGACTTAATTGCACAAACAAAATTGCAGGTCAGCTTCTCCTCCCTTGAGGGTAAAGCACAAAAGAGGTGCTATAGGTCAAAAGGTTACAATTTCAAAGTGTGGAATTGTATATATACTTATGAGTTGAGAGCCCGGATATGCAGCAATGATAATAATCTAAACTTTTTTTTTTTTATCATTTTCTTCACATCAAAAATCTGGATCAGGTGGCATACACCTTTAATACTAGCTCTCAGGAGGCAAGAGGCAGGCCTATCTGTGTGAGTTTGAGGCCCTCCTGATCTACACAGCAAGTTCCAGGCCATCTAGAGCTGGTGTTCCACAGAATAAAGCTCATGTAATTTCTACACAAAGAGGTTTCTAATTAGAAATTTGAAGGTATCACCCTTTTTTCCCAGTTCCTTCATCTACACATGCCCCAGAACCATGGCAGCTACTCAACCTGCTTTATGGCAGACATTCAATCTATTTAACAAGAACGAAAATAAAATTCCTACAGACCCTGCTTAAGAAAGATTCTGGTCTAATAGTCTTTGTCTTCCAAACTTTTGAGAAGGAGGAAGCACTGTACAGTAGCTTCAAAGGTTATGGAAGCTATTCTGAAAGGGTTATGGCTCTACCTTACCTACTAGTAGTCATTTTATAGAGCAAAATGTCAACCACTGAACTTGAGACAGTGTTTACTCAGGAGTAATTTTAGGTAAAGTTAACACCAACAGGAAGCTAAAAACAAGACACAATTCAAAGAGAAAAGGAATGCTAATTTTGAAAAAGACTGTGAGCACTTCAAACATACCTGTTCTACAGTTGCTCTGTCGGCCTTATCTTTAATACGATACCTGAGTGGAACAAAAAAGTATAGCAGACATATTCAAAACTCAGTGAGAAGCCAGAATGAGCCTTCTACATGTGCACAATTTGGTGACAATTCTCAAGAAGTTTTTCATAAACAATATAATCTGATACAGACTCTTCACTCAGTTTAAGCTCCATTTCTCTGAACATGCAAGTTGGATCTCTTTAGCAGGCATGTCCAATCTTTTGTTATTTCTTTCCATTTTAGTTTTTTGATCTTTTTCACTTAGTTTCTATAAGTGAATGAAGAGTAGGTAAGAGCATACCACCCTGCATGCGATGGTCAGAACACAACTTTTGGGAGGTGGTTCTATCCTTCCACCACCAGGGATCACACATATAAACGCATATATAAATATACAGATGTGCATATATAATGTTATATATCAAGTATGTGTTTCACATGCACATAGAAGGGACAGAGAAAGGAGCAGACAGAAAGAGGCAGGAGAAGGAATTCAAATGTGGAAGTCTTCCCACGTCCTGGGGCATTAAGAAAGAGAGCAGCTGGAGTACAGTGACAGGGACGTGTGGAGTGTCCGTGCTGTCCTTTAATGACCCTACTTACTTATAAGGCTGTGTTTTTAGACCTTTATTTCAAAATAATTTCCAAAGGCAGACTCTGATTTGCTTCAGCCCATCCACTAGATAACGCAATTCAAAACACTAACTTATACTAACACAGGCTCAAATACAAAAAGTCAAACAGGTCAGTAAATATCAAATGGCCAAAGTGTCTCTCAGAAAGTTATCTCTGTGGATGCAGTAACAAACCAGAAAACAAAAAAACAAAAATAAAACAAAAAAAAAAAACCAACTGACTTCAATGCTCAGTCCTGACACCGATAGTGGATGAACATAATTTTCTACACTGCAATGATCATCCCAGTTATTATTATTATTAACACATAAGAAGTCAGCCAGACCTCAATCAGCCGGAATCTATAAATACTCATCCTGATTAAAACACATTTATGAACTTCACGAGATCGTATTTTTACTACTCAAGACTCATTTACTGTTTTGATTTGCACACACTAAGCTAATAAACAAAAGCACATTAACATCCCCTGCAGAACAACTACACTGCCCAGTCAAGAAATCAGTCTCTACCAGCTTTGTATTCAAACATTACTTACGATTCTGCTTCTTTCTGTCTCAATTTTACGGTGACTTTATTTATGACAGAATCAGTAACATTCAGCTTATCTAAAAAGACAAAAACTCACAATGTAAACAAGACAGTAACAGTAACCTCTACTTTTCTATACATTTTCTTAATAGAATTAGAATATGCCTAACTTATGAGGCAAGCAGTAAGTTAACTTAGTTCTTTACAGTGTGCATTCTCAGAACTATAGCATGCTTTTTGAACCAGAATTCTAAATTGTAGATATAAACAATACCCAAAAGCATTGGCTCTTTATAGTAAGTCTCAGATACTTAATGGTTTGTACAATACAGATAACACAACTGTCTGAATTCAAAGTTTAATTGTGCAAGCTTCAGTTTCTTATCACATTAGAGATATATCACGATGACTAGGAAATACTTACATACATTAATTTGAGACTTATGGAGAGTATGCACGAGACACTGGTAGGTTTACAGAGTCAAAATGCTCCAAGCAGAAAACCATGGCCTTGCATTGTTAAAGCCCTGTAGTCCAATCACGGCTGGCTTTCAAATAAACGATCAATACTGCCTAAATAAACAAATAACATTTCTAGGCTGTTCTAATACAAAAGGCAATGCAGAACAGAAAAGAATTGGGGTGAGCACATGAAACTTCATATTCCCACAACAGATGAAAACAGAGAATGAGGTCACTGAAAGTTACTTTCTTAATTCTATCCAGAGTCATTCATTGACTCTATCACTGAGCCAAATACATTCGCTTCTTCAGCTAACAAAAGTGTCCAACATTTGGAAGAATTTCTTCACCGCTCAGGCGAAATATTTTTTTAAAACTTACTTAGATTGATTTTATTTTCAAATCTTTGCAACGACTTGTCAACTGGAGTAGACATTTTGGCTGAATTGTAGTTAGAAGTCTGCCGATTTGCCTACAAGAAATTAGTTTAAAACATGATTAATCGTAAATTCAAGCTTAAGGTTCATAATTACATTTCTTTCTCCCTTATTTTGTATTACATTTTGGAGGAAGGGACACAACACACATGGAGCGAGAGAACAACTCTTACATGTTGATTTTCTCTTTCCACCCTGACGGTCCCAGGAACTGAACTCAAGTTGTCAGGCTCGACACCAACTGCATTTACTGCTGAACCATCCCCCTGCTCCAGCTCAGTCAGCTGTTAAAGCATCACTACATGTAGGAGTGTACTAGAAGAGAAACAACCTTTGAAAAGACTTTTTTTTAGGTTCCTAGAGCTGGAGAGCTGGCTCAGCAGTTAAGGACACTGGCTGCTCTTCTAGAAGAGCTGAATTCGATTCCCAGCACCTACATGACAGCTACACCATCTGTAAGTCTCATCCCAGAAGGATCCAAAACCTTTTAATCTCCTTGGGCATTTCATAAACTGCTTGCACATGGTCCAGATACATATGCAGGCAAAGCACCCACACATAGAAAAAAATAAAATAGGAAAAAAAGGCATTTCAAAAAGAAGGCTAAGGTTACTAACCACAGAACACAGGCCACACGTTATGTTCTTCTCTTCAATGTATTTTTTGTTATTATGAATAATAACTAAGTTGGATTTTTAAAATGTAATTGACTTGTACATTTGATAGTTGAGTATTCACTTACCTTCAAAGTGTTTAGTAAAGAGCTAAGGCTAGTACTAAATTCATTTTTTTTTAGATTTATTTTTATTTATTTTATGTATGTGAGTACACTGTAGTTCTCTTCAGACACACCAGAAGAGGTACCAGATCCCTTTACAGATGGTTGAGAGCTACCATGTGGTTGCTAGGAATTGAACTCAGGACCTCTGGAAGAGCGGTCAGTGCTCTCAACCACTGAGCCATCTCTCCAGCCCCCCTCACCCTTAAATTCATTCTTAGCCCTGTATTTTAAGCCTGACACTGCAAGAAAGGGAATGGGGAAAGATAAGTATGAGGTCCAGCACTTACTCTGGTGTTCTGTATAACCGTAACACCCAAGAAAAGCAGAAGCCATACCTAAAACTCACAGAGAATGCAATATAGATTTTAAAGACGGGCTCCCAGCCAGGCAAGTACTGGTGCATGCTTTTACTCCCAGCAGAGACAGGTAAATTTCTCTGAATTTAAAACCAGCCTGGTCTTCAGATCGAGTTTCAGGGTGGCCAGGGATACAGAGAAATCCTGTCTCAGGGAGGGGAAAAAAAATTAAAAAATGGTACTCAACAATTGCTGATTCCCTTTTACTATGTCTCGGCATGAAACTCTGAGGCTTGGTTGTCTTATCTGTAAAGAACTTAAAAGATTTTCTACCAAATTTAACATAAACCTTGTTTTAGAATTAGTTATCTCGCTTTATTTGTATGAATGTTTTGTTTACACGAATGTATGTGTACCACATGGTGTCTGGTACTTATAGATGCCATAAGAGAGCACTGGATCCCATGGAACTCGAATTACAGATGATTATGAGATGCCATGTAGGTGCTGGGAATTGAATCCAGGTCCTTAGCAAGAACAACACATGCTCTAACCCACTGAGCTATCTTCTCAGCCCCTTTAATTTAACTTTTAAAATAACTTTTGGCTTTGGGATACAGATGTAATACAGTACTTGACCAGTAGGTAAAGACCCTGGGTTTGATTCCTAGCACCACAATAAGTAAAAATCAGGCCATGTTTCCTATCACATACATGCCAAACTGACTGATTTGACTTTTGTAGTGCTGGGATGCACAGTAGGCAAATGCTCCAAAAATGCACTGCATCCCCAACAAAACAATTACTATAATCACCAGCAACCAAAAGTTAACAGAAACATTAAATATACATACATCATAACACAATCCATGCTGAAATGATCCAAAGTCTCTCCAGTGACTCAGTGTAGGGGTTACCAAAACTTACTTTGGATTCCAGGCTGGCCTTGAACTTGTGATCCTTCTACCTCTTCTTCACAGCCCAGCTATACTTCTCTAATTACCAATGAGTTTCAATGTTTTCCCTCCTGCTGTGCTGGGAAGCCAGGGACAGACCCCAGAATCTTTCGTATGCTAGCCAAATGCTTTATAGTTGAGCTACATTCCCAACCCCCTTTCTGTTCTGTAAATGGTCTGCAGTTAACAGCTTAGTCATGACCTTTCCTTTATATATTTTTAAATTCATTCATCCTGATACCTCAGTAACTCTTTAACATTTACTGATGATCAAAAGAATCCAAATACAAGAAATTGTGAGAAATATGAAAAAGCACAAAGAAAGAAAACAAATTAGTAAAAGCTGGAGCTCGAAGACAATATAACCCACAAACCACAAAGTCTTTTTTTAAAAAACTACATGGGCTGGAAAGATGGCTCAGCCCACAAACTACTGTCATTCAAGCCTGAGGACCTAAGTTCAGTCCTTAGCATCCACACAACAAGGCAGACGCAGAGGTCAACATCCGTGATCCCAGCACTGGTGGAGCTGAGAGAGGAGGGTCTTAGGAAGTCGCGAGCCAGTGGCTGACTAAATGGTGAGCTCTGGGCTCAAGTGAGATGGCTCAAAAGATAAGGTGGAGAGGCTGGAGACAGCTCAGAGATATTAGGACTGGAACTGGATCCCAGCACACACATAAGAACCTGTTTAGAGCCGGGCAGTGGTGGCGCACACCTTTAATCCCAGCACTTGGGAGGCAGAGGCAGGTGGATTTCTGAGTTCGAGGCCAGCCTGGTCTAAAGAGTGAGTTCCAGGACAGCCAGGGCTACACAGAGAAACTCTGTCTCAAAAAACCAAAAAAAAAAAGTTTGGATGTTGTGGATCCCCAAAACATCTGTAAGTCCCGCTCCAAGAAGTGTCCACTTCTGCCTTCCCCACATGCACACAGGTGTGTGTATACACTCATGCAGACACATCCACACACATAAAGAAAAGATAAAGTGGAAAACTAGTGAGGAAGACACCTGATATCACACACACACACACATACACACACGGAAAACATAAGCAGATAACACAGATTTACAGAGTCCATACATACCTGGTAGTTACTGCTGCCATTCCAGGTACAACCCTTGGTGAGTTTTCCAGTCCCATCGTCCAAGTACCAGTCAGAGTCATAATCATAGTCATCTTCCTCATTAATCTCATCTTCGCCCTTCATCTCTGCTGCATCATTCTCAAGGTTTTTAAGTAGAATGCCATCTTCTCCTGCATGAATTGACTGCACTTCTTTGTTTTCACTAGGAATAAGAATGTTCTGGCATGTTTATTCAGCCCCTAAAAGGAAAAACACCCACATACACACACAACTAAAGATTCCCTTACATTTCCCAATCTGCTCCATCTTCTTAGTATCAAGGTCGTCTGTCTCCCTGTCTGCAGCAATGCTTTACTCTCCACGCCCTCGTACTACTTAGTCATCTGGTGTTGGCTTTGCTTTTGCCTTAAGTCAAGCTAGAATTTACATTATCATCTTGGGTAAATGAACTGACTCCGACCAGTGCACAAGACCAGATCATTCATATTTTAAGGGTGTGTGTATCAAAATCTGCCTTTCCTTGAACTCTCTGTAATACCAGGAGCTGTAGCAAGACACTTCTAAGACACAAATAACTCAAAATCACCTTCATTTATAAAAGGAAGCAATGATAGAGAGAGGCCCAACACTACACAGTGAAGTTGGCCAAGTAGAGGACAACAGAAGAGGGAACTATCGAGAGAAGAGGTCCAGAGTAATCAAAGTACAACCAATGAGGGGAGAGGTTCACAAGAGAATGCAGACCCTGTTGTTACCAGATCTTCCTAGTTTTACAAGCTAAAACACTGGATGCTTACGTAATTTTCTTTTTCACATAACTGGCAGGTTCAATATTGTTAAAAAAAAAAAAAACATTGTGCATTTCAAACAAAACACATTTACCCCCTAAATTCAATAAAATTCAATTCAGTGTTGCCAGCTTTGACCTCTCATGCAAAGAACAGGCCAGGAATCACATAAAACAACTAATAATAATACCACTTAAAAAGACATAAAGCCTGGTTCAGCAGCACTCAACACCAAGATCAGCATGAGCCCCTGGACAAGGACAACATACAAATAAGTTAGTTAGGTGGTATCCTGGTTCTTTTCTTTAAAGACAGGGTCTCACTATTTAGCCATGGCTGGCCTGGAACTTGCTATATAGACCAAGCGGGGATTGAATGCAAAGATTTACCTGCCTCTGCCTCCCAGGTGCCAAGATTAAAGATGTGTGTACCTCCCCTGACTATAAAAAGAGCCATTTTTTTTTTCTCTTAGTTGCCCTTTTGAGGTAAGCACTCCACCATAGAACTAATCCCCAGCACCTCACCCCACCCCACCCCACCCCTTGGTTGTTTTGTTTTGTTTGAGACAGAGTCTCACTGTTGGGTCTGGCTGCCCTGGAAGGCACTAAGTAGCTAGGGCTGACCTTGAAATCATCGACTTCAGATGCTTCTGCTTCTAGAGTGCTGGGATTAATTATGTTGCACCACACCTGGTACCCCTCTATTTCTTAAATAAATAAATAAATAAATTGAGTTGTCAACTCTAACTTATTAATTGGCTACAGCCCACAAGGCTTTACGTGCCCACAGGCATGAGTAGGAAGAGAGATAACCGTTTAATAACTGCAATTTACTAAGACTTCACAAGTATAATATATAAATTACTCTTCACTTACACGTCTAATAATCTACACAGGTATGTTAAAGGCACAACAATGTGAAAGGTCCTGGTGTCCTCAGTCTCAACTACTCAATCCTCTGCGGTGACAATGTCTTGTACAGACACCACCATCAGCCTCTACCTACTTACCAGATAGCACTAGTATACTCCACCCTCAGCCCAGGGGTAACATATAAAACTGTCTCTGGAGAGTGCCAAGACTCTTTGGTGCAGTGGCAAAAATCACATCCAGCAGAGGACCACTGGTGGAGTCTCACCATACCCGGTGTGTACCGGGCCTATGGGCAAAGCACGCTTGCTTCTTCTTCCCGCTTAAACGCTTCAGTAAGGATTTCTGTGAGATGATCAGTAAGCAGACGAATGGAAATCTCCAATTTCTCCTGCTAATTCCTACTATATGTTAGTGATCACTCATTTTTTTTCCTTTGTACTATTCACCAATTTTAATTCAAATAATTTACCGCATTGCTAATATCAATTTCCCCTAGCAGAGGACAACCCTTATGGCAATCAAAAATGGTAGTCACCAATATTTCCCTAACACTAGATTTGACACACAGAGTGGTCAATACATGTTTATCAAAACCGCTCACGATTGATGAATAAAATCTACGTGATTTTATTCTTTGTTGTTTTCTTTTCTTTTTAACGGGAAGTTTTCCATCACCGCTTTCTTTGGACCTCACATCCAATTTCACCACAAAACCTCAACACTGCTACCTCAAAGTCGTTTTATGACCGTTGCTCTAGGAGCCATCGTGTTCAAACCTGGTTATTTTATTTATTTTTTTTTTTTACTGGTTCTCTGCTCCACTCCTTCTCTCCAAGAACATCTACGTAACTCACCAGTTCCTTTAATGACTTCCTGTCGCTGCTAAAAGCCCCCCTCTGGCCTATAAGACCTGAACAGTATTTTAACTTCTCAGTTACTTGTAAGGCTCTACCTGGCTGGTTTCCCTTTTTGCCTCAATTCTCTCCGCTGCGTTGTAGACGCTAGCCTCTTGGTCTGCCCTCCTTTCCAAATAGACGGTAGAGACTTGATTTGTCTTGTTCATCATCACTATCGCCTGCGGAGGTAAAACTTTTGCTGACTGTGTGTGGAACCTTGTATGTAGAGAGAGAGAAAAAGCCCCACGTTTCTCAGTGGTCCCCACTCTTACTTCTCTGCTGAACATTCTGGGAACCACTGACAGGTAGCTTTCACGAACTGCCCAGCTATGAGGACAGACCCCGAGAAAAAAATCCAAACCCGTCAGGTGTCAGCTCCGAGTCGAATGCGGAGCTGGCGGAATCTGAGGAATAAGTGTGTCATCTCCGGCCGCCTACCTGTCTGAGGAATCCGCGTCGTCAAACTGTCCAGGGACCACCGAGGCCATCCTGTCCAGACTGCAGTCCATGACTAGTGGTGTGAGCCTTCGGCGCCCCTCAGGCTGCGAGCGGAAGAGACGGCTTTCCACCTAGCGAACCCAACCGCGTCTCCGCGATTCCGGCCTCTCAAATCCCTCGGCAACTGCCAGGCTCAAAACAGCAAACAGGCGCCACGGGGTGTTAGGATACAGGGTTTCTGCAAACACGGCCACCGACAGACCGGAAGTTCAACGCCGGAAGTATGCCCCAGAAGTACCTCGCCAAACCCTAGTGCCCTCAGGGAGCATGCGCGTTACGGTGGCCGGGAAAGGCCAATTCGCGATGTGAAGTGGGCGTGGTGCGTTGTTTATGGAGTGAGATGTGTATCACGCGTTGCTTCCAAGACTATCGTCCTTGCTCCATCATGGGTTTTCCAGTCATGGAAAGTCAGCCTGTTTTTCTCTGGATGCTCCTGAAGACTTGCGTCCTCTGACCTCCTTCGTGCAGACTCCTGTGTGGTCCAGAGGACGTCACACTGGGGCGTTCGAGCGCTCTGCGACGCACCAGTCGGTGCCCTCGGTGGGGACGGTTGGAAGGAGTTCTCCCTCCCGCGGAGCCGGTGTGCGGGGAGGAAACCCGGAATCCTTAGCCTGAGTCACAGAAGCTCTATGGATCATGGAAGTGAGCACACTTTTGCTCTCTAGAAGCGTTGGTGTGTTGTTTTGAGATGCAAATGAGACACGTGGTTGGTTTTTTTAAGTTGGGAAGTTCAAGTTTTTGCATTTGGTACTCTTGTGACACCTTTTTCTGCCTTTTTCTTAATGTTAAAATGTTAAGTATTACTTAGCGCGCGCGTGTAATGCATGTGCATGAGTGAAGTTCAAAGAATAACTTAAGAGTTTACTCCTTCCACCTTGGGCTCCGGGAACCGAACTCTGGTCGTCTGTGCTTTTCCCTGTTCAACCATCTCGCAAGCCCTTATTATCTTAAAAACGGCGTTAACTCAAGCCGGTTGTTGGTGGTGCACACCTTTAATCCCCGCACTTGGGAAGCAGAGGCAGGGAGATCTTTGAGTTTGAGGCCAACCTGTTGACAGGCAGAGAAACTCTGTTTCGAAAAAAAACAAAACAAACAAACAATGGATTTAGGTCGAATGGCGGTGGTGGCTCACACCTTTTAATCCCAGCACTTGGAAGGCAGAGGCAGGCAAATCTTTGTGAGTTCAAAGCCAGCTTGGTTTACAAAGCGAGTTCCAGGAGAGCCAGAGCTACACAGAGAAACCCTTTCTTGAAAAACAAACAAAAATCTAAAATTCGCTAGGGACCAAAGTGAAAGATGAAAACGAAAAAACAATTGTTTTTTGTAGTTCGATAACAATTTATACCGAGCTGTAAGAGACATGAACAGACTTTTAAAAAACCGTTATTGGAGAAGATGTCTCAGTGGTTAAGAGTCTGGGTTCTGGTTCAGCACCTGGTTGGACCACTCACAACCACCATTCCAGAGAACCCTGCACACACATGGCATGTGTATACTAAACACACACATACAGTTTTTAAAGTGTAATTGCAAGTCACAGGCCCACGGAAGAGAAAACTATTTTGCATTTGGAAAGTGATTTAAGACTCTACGGAATCCCTGTCATCCCACAGGTAGTGTTTATTTGCAGGCCGGGAAAGGTGAGCCTAAGGTCCTAAGTCCTCCAGCAGCCCTGCCTAGCTTCCTCAGTAAATTAAGTAATCTAACAGAATCATCCAGGCAGACGGGTACTAAGGATAGACTGAGACAATTTGAAAATATGTCACTAGAATGTGGGATATTTTCATCGGGTGTCTAACTGTGTAGACCAGAGTTTGTTAACTGAGGATCATGGCCCCATGATTGGGGGTTGGGGGAGGAAGGGAGTCATGATAAATGCTCCACACCCAAAACCTGATTTATAATTTAAATTGTGGGATGAATCTGACGTCTGGCAATATTCACCCATGATAACCTCACACAGCTATTCCAACCCACAGCAATAAGCTGCCTGAGATACCTCTGTTCAGATTTGAGACTTATATGTTCCTGTTAGAGTCCAAGAGTAGCTCAAGGAAGACCCCAGACTCAAATAGTATGCAAAGGCAAAGAGCATTTACTGCAGAAATTACCAGCATTCAGGAGCCAACCATTTATTAAAATAGCGACCACCCGAGGGGTTCCTGGACCCCTTTTATGAAGGGCTAAGAAAATTTACCAGAAAAATTAGATAACCTCTAATATGATTGGTAGGAGGCAAAGCAGTGACATTAATACAATTCTGATTGGTTGATAACTTAGTTTCATTGTAATTGGTGAGGCCTTGAAGAATGTTGGAAACCAGCTCTGTTCTGGCCTTCTTATCTCCTCCAGCTAGGTGGCCCAGGATCGGACTCAGCTCAAGATTTATCCTCCCTAAGTCAGGGCCATCTGACTAAAGGCCCATTGTCAGTGGCTCCTGAGGTACTCAGTATGCTTTCTAGGGAAAGACAATTTTATTCCCAAGGTTTATGGACTTCTCATTATGAACTGCAGTGTTTTTACTGTACATTACAGTCTTCTAGTCTTACAGAAATAATCATTTCATTACAGAAAGCAGACTTAATATTTTCCTCATCTCATTTCTCGGCATGTAAATATCAAAGTAGTATTATGTCAGATAAACAAACACATCTAATTAATATGTAAATTTGCTTTCCTATTTAACAAGTGGTAAGATTATATGTATATCAAAAGAATTGTTTTAAAATAAATTTATTATCAGTAAGTGTTTCATTTGTATTTCTACTTTATGTACATGGAAACTTTACAGAGTGGAAAAAGTTTAAAAGCCCTGCACTAATCTATCCCACTTGATGTAAGAAGAGAAGACTGTACCTGGCAAAACCGGGGCTAGAAAGATGGGTGCAGCTGGTAAAGTGCGTGCTGCTCACACAAAGGACTGGAGTTTGGTTCTCAGTGCCCAGGTCAGGTGACCCCTACTTCCTGTGACTCCCATTCTAGGGAATCCAACACCACTGGCTTCCCAGGACACCTTGAATCACAAGTACAGACATACAAATACATACACATCATTACAACTTATAGGAAAGTTAATGAGGCCCGAGAAAGAAGAGAGCTGGCATAGGACAGGACTGGCCTGTGTCCAGGAAGTATTGGGGAACTATAGACTCCTTGCCGGACAACTATAATGTGTATATGGAAAACTAGTAACACCCTTGCAGTAGTGGTTAAGATTAAAACAGCAAACAGTGGTGAGTTATGAGAGAGCAATGCAAATATAACATGGCAGAGAATGTAAAGCTGGACGGATGGTGCACTGGGTTCTGTCAGCTTCATACAAACTGAGTCACCTGGAGAAAGGAAAGCTCAACTGAGGGGTGGCCTCCATCAGACAACTCTGTGGGCATTTCTGTGGGGTGTTTTCTTAATTACATATTGTTGCTGGAGGGTCCAGCCCACTGTGGTCTGGGCCATTCCTGGGTTGGTGGGCCTGGGTTGTTTTTTCATTTTTTTGGTTGGTTGGTTATTTTTAAAAAAGATAGATGAGCAAACCAATAAGCAGTGGTCCTCCCCGTTCCTACTTGAGTTTCTTCCCTGAGTTCCCTGAGTGGTGAACTGTGAACCAGTAGTATAAGCCATAAACTCTTCTGAAGTTGACTTTGGCTATAGTTTTTTGGTTATAGCAACAGAAAGCAAACTGTGGAAGTTTCGAGGAGAAGCACAGGCTCAGGCAGATGGCTGAGATGGTGGAAAGCATCCCTTTGTACGGAGTAGTAGTGGGTAAATAATGTGGACTTACGAAATAATGTAGGGTATGAAATGCCTCAAGGACAAAGAGAAGAATTTGGATTCTATGGTTGGACCTAGATATCCTGTCTCCTGACAGATGTGTATAAGACTACAGATCAGGACTAGAGAGATGGCTCAGTGGTTAAGAACACTGACTGCTCTTCCAGAGGTCCTGAGTTCAATTCCCAGTAGCTACATGATGGCTCACAACCATCTGTAATGCTCTTCCAGAGGTCCTGAGTTCAATTCCCAGTAGCTACATGATGGCTCACAACCATCTGTAATGGGATCTGATGCCCTCTTGTGTTTCTGAGGACAGCCACGGTGTGCTCAAATACATAAAATTAAAAAAAAAATACAGATCAGTGAGGCGGGAGCTAGAATGGACTCGTGGATTATAGACAAATACTTATAATGGAAAAATGGACAGAGTTGGTTGACAATAGCTGTGGGTGATGATGTAGGACTTCTTTTTTTTTTTAAAGATGTATTTATTTTTGTATATGAGTACACTATAGCTGTCTTCAGAAACAAAAAAAGCGGTCATTCATTACAGATGGTTGTGAGCCACCATGTGGTTGCTGGGAATCAAACTCAGGACCTCTGGAAGAGCAGTCGATGTTCTTAACCACTGAGCCATCTCTCCAGTCCAATGTAGGACTTCTACAATGCCTCCAGGTTTTCAACTTTCGCCTAACGTGATGAAAGTAGACCTAAACAAAAGCAGAGACTAAGGTTGGATGTTATGGCAGCTCATATTCCCAGCAGTTAGAAGGCTGAGGCAGGAGGATTGCCACGAACTTAATGCAGCCCAGGCTACAGAAAAAGACCCTCTCTTAAAAACAAAACAAATTTAAGGTGTGGTATAGGAAAACCTGTACAATGTTGGATTTGACTTAGTGTGTTGAAAAAGCATCAAACAGAAATTTTGTGAAAACTGAAAAATTTCTGATAGTAGTTTGGAAAGAATAGGCTTCTTTGCTCTGTAGGGCTCACACTCTGTGGAACATTATTGGATAGAAGCAGCACACATTGGTTTGATTTTGGCCAAATCACCATTTACTGTGATACCAAGTTGGAAAATGGCATTTTAAAATCTAGAGTAGTGAACTTTACTTTTTAAAAAAAGTTCTTATGTGTGTGCCTGCACACCACACGTATGCGGTTCCCAAGACCAGAAGAGCTATCTCCCAGGACTGGAGTTACAAACAGTTGTGAACTACAATGTGGGTGCTGGGAATTGAACACTGGTCCTTTGAAAAAGCAGCCAGTGTTCTTAACCTCTGAGGCATCTCTCCAGGCCCTTCGTTAGCCTTCTTACTGTGAAATTGGGTAAAGAAAGTCTCTGCACAAACAGATTTACACTAAAAATGTGTCTTTCTCTTTTGTTTGCTTTTTAAAGAGGCCTTCTGTCATTTAGCAGTTAGAGATACAGACTCTCAAAAGTTTTGGTCATCATCCCTGGCAGCGCAAAACAAAAAGGAAAATAACGTTATTGCCTTCATCTTCGGTTCCTATGTGTTTTGAAGTGGATACTTCCTTGAAAATTTAGAAAGTATGTCAGAGTTGGAAACAATGAATGTGAATGGTCCTTCTCAAGACTTCCCCTACTCAGACTCACCCTTCTGTGTGGAAGCCAGCTCCTCCTCCTCAGACCTGCTTCAGGTGTGCAACCTACAGTAGTAAGTTTGAAGGCTTAGCCCAGATTGCTCTCATATGAACAATTTATTTTTCAGAATTATGAGGGATATTTGGTGGGCGTGGAGGGAAGGTACACATAGTGTTCTTAGTCTAGTGTGCAAAGGGGGGAATAGTTTTACAGACAGTGTTCTAAAAGAGATCCTTTCTGTTCATGAAGTTCCAGACATGCAGCTAGGAGACATGCCTACAGCTCAGTCACAGACACAAGGAGAGCCCAGACAAGGCCTGCCTCCTACCTAGTGTATTCTTCCACTGTGTCTCTCTGAAGGTGACCAGCTGACATGTGTGACACTGACAGCACCCATGCTGTGTCTTCATGAGAAGTCCTAGTGTCCTTTCCCAGGAAGTAAGAGATCATGATGTCTCAGGGTCTTCAAGAATGTTGACACTTGTAGCCACTAGCAAGAGTTTAGGAAACTAGTAGAAATGCGTTAAGTTGTACCATATTAAATTGGTATAAAAATATGGACAAATAATGAAAAATTCATGTGGTCCAGAGTATAAACTGGCAAAGGCTTCCGAAAGAGCTTGTTTAATGTTAGGGATCTCAGATAAACTACAATTTAAAAGTCTATCTCTAGACAATATTTAAAAAGATACTTAAGGAGTTATCCATAATGGGGTAATGAGATGGCTTAGCAGTCATAGGCACCTGCACCCAAGCCTGATGACCCGACTTCAATCTCCAGGCCTAAGCAGTAGACAAGAACAGCGTCCCTGTAAGCTGTCCTGTGAGCTTCACACGACACATGCACATACATGTTCATACCCACACACACAAAATTAACTAAATAGAGGTTTAAAAGAATTATCCATAAAGTCTCTTAATTTATGGGTTAAAAGAGTTAATTCATAAATTAAAAAGATAACCCATATAATGGATAATTTGTAATTGCGTTAGAAACATTTTTTGAGTGGGGCATAAATTATTTTATGGATGATTCCTTATATGCTGCAAATCAGTACTTGCTGACAGAGAAGTGGTCACACTGGCCAGGGTGGTGGCCCATACCTGTGCTCCTGTGATCCATCGTGGTTGTGAACTCAGGAGGACCCTGAATTTGAGGTCATCCTGGGCTGTATAGCAAAGCCTTGCCTCAAAATCCATTTTAAAAGATGTGTGCTATTCACTTATGTGTATGTGTCTATGTGCGAGTATAGCTATCCCACAGAGGTCAGAAAAGAGCACCAGATCTCCTGGAACTGGAGTCACAAGCATCCGTGAGCTAACCCTGTGTGAGCAGTAGGAATTGAACTTGGGTCTACTGGAAGAGCAGCAAGTGATCTTAATCAGTTACTAAGCCATCTTTCCAGCCCTTCAATTTTTTTAAGGAAAAAAAATGGTCATATTGGTTTTTCACTGTAATAGAAAGCAACCAGGCAGTGGTGGCGCATGCCTTTAATCCCAGCACTTGGGAAGCAGAGGTAGGCAGATTTCTGAGTTCAAGGCCAGCATGGTCTACAGAGTGAGTTCCAGGACAGCCAGGGTTATACAGAGGCTATACCCTATCTCGGAAAACAAAAAATAAAAAATAAAAAATAAAAATAAATAAGATAAAAAGCCCACTACCTAGGGACTTTTAATACAATGTCTATTGGTGTTTATATAATCTCTCTTCACATAATATTCAGTATTTTTTTTAAAAATTGTTTACACTTTACATGTATGGGTCTCTTGCCTGCAAGTATGTCTATTGATAATGTTATCTTTTTTATATTTTTCAAAATTCAAAAAAAAGAGTCATGGTCTAGTGTTAATACTATATATAGTTCTATGTTTTTTTAAAAATGAATGGTTTAAATTTTATTAGATGCTATCCTGGGCTGAAGGGATGGACTCGGACTGTACCTGATTACTGCTCTTACAGAGGCCCTGAGTTCTGTTCTTGGGATTCTAGTCTGGCAGCTCACAACTGCCTGGTGACTCCAGGTCCAGATGCCCTCTGTTAGCCTCCTCAGGTGCTGCACTCAGGTGGACACCAACCCCCCACACACACACACATATACACATAACTTAAAGAATATGAATACCTGGGCATGAAACCCTTGCCCTTAATCGCAGCACTCTCGAGGTAGAGGTAGGTGGATCCCTGGAAGTTTAAGGCCAGCCAGAGCTCCATGGTGAGACCCGGTCTAAAACAAAGGGACTGAGAAATGGATCGGCTGTTAAGAGAACTGACTGTTCTTCCTGCGGCCCTGGGTTCAATTCTGGCATCCACGTGGCTGCTCATAACTCTTCGGAACACCAGTTTCAGGGACTCTAATACCACCTTCTGGCCTTTACAGGCACTGAACACTCAAGTGATCCACAGACATGCATACAGTAGGCAAAACACTCATACACATAAAGTTTAAATAGAAAGGAATTATTTATTTATTGATTGATTTATTGATTTATTGATTTATTGATTTATTGAGACAGGGTTTCTCTGTGTAGTCCTGGCTGTCCTGGAACTCACTCTGTAGAGCAGGCTGGCCTCGAACTCAGAAATCCACCTGCCTCTGCCTCCCAAGTGCTGGGATTAAAGGTGTGCGCCACCACCACCTGTTGTAGAAAGGAATTTTTAGAAGAATAATAATACAGGGAAAACTGAGCTCAAAATTAACCATGAGGGTTTTTTGGAATCGAGATCCCAAGAGGACTGTGTGAAATCCAATCTGAAGGCATGTCAGTGGTTCTGTTTGGTTCTTAGTGATTTTACGTCTTGCTAGGAGGAACAGCCTAAGTAAGGAGCTTAGCTGTTCATAAGCTGGAGTTCAGCTTTTATTGTACGGGGGCAACTCTGAGAGATTATTATTGAATAGAGGTTGATAGCAGTAAGATTTTAAGACGATATTCCTTGGCTTTTGAGACCAGTTTTCCCTCTGCTGCTCAAGCTGGCCTGCTTGTATGTAGTAGGGCATCATTTAGATCTACATATGTGAGATACTATTTATGATAAAAGCAAATTTTTTCCTCAAAAAATTTAAATACACACTATGCTATCTTATTTCTAATACTAATTTAATATTCCCAATTATCTTATATAACATTAAGAATACTGAAGAACAGACCTACATGTGTTTATAAATTATTCAGAGGAATCAAGTGTCACCTCGTGACTGGACTCTTCAATGTGAACTAAACAAACAAAAATAACAAATATCTGTTTAGACAAGATTTAATAAACATTAAAGAATTATCTGAGCCGGGCGGTGGTGGCGCACGCCTTTAATCCCAGTACTTGGGAGGCAGAGGCAGGCGGATTTCTGAGTTCGAGGCCAGCCTGGTCTACAGAGTGAGTTCCAGGACAGCCAGGGCTACACAAAGAAACCCTGTCTCAAAAAACCAAAAAAAAAAAAAAAAAAAAAAAGAATTATCTGGCTGCGGCTAGCAAGGTGACTTAGCAGTTAAAGGTACTCCTACTCAAACCTGATCACCCAAGGTCAATTCCCCCAAATCCAGGTAAAAAGCCACATTTGCTGGTAGTGTGCATCTGTAAACCCATCACTCCCATCACCATCCTACTGTGAGATGGGAGAATTGTCCTGAGCTCACACACTGGGTCACCTGGAGTACTCAGCCTGGCAGAAACAGCAGGAGAGGTCCTTACTCAGAACAAGGCGGAAGGAAGGAAGGACGTTCCCAAAGCTGTCCCCTAACATCCACACTCGCCATGTTGTGTGTGTGTATTCCAGGATCTCGGTAATAGAGAAACAATAAACCCAACTGGGCATGATTGTTCACACCTTTCATCCCAGCACTTGTGAGCACAAGGTTGGAGGATGTCATGGTTCAAGGCTGCAGTCCACATGAATTGCAGGAAAGTCTGAAAATAATATTGAGTGAAACCGTGTCTCTAAAAGCTACCTCTCAAAATTATCATCAAGAGATATAAACACCCTCATCTGTCCCTGTGCTTAGAGATGCATAATCTCACTTTTAAAAACCATTAAGTAGGGCTGGAGAGATGGCTCAGTGGTTAAGAGCACTGACTGCACTTCCAGAGGTCCTGAGTTCAAATCCCAGCAACCACATGGTGGCTCACAACCATCTGTAATGAGATCTGATGACCTCTTCTGGTTTGTCTGAAGACAGCTACAGTGTATTCATATATAATAATAAATAAATCTTTAAAAAAAACATAAAAAAAAAACCCATTAAGTAACAGGCTGCTTGTCACTTACTGTGACTCTTCTGTGACTGATTTACGGAGCTAAATATGCAGTGGGAAAATGTACTAAAATGTGTATCGTGCCTGTAAAACAAATTCCCAACAAGAAGCTCCAGACCAGATTATGTACTCCTTTAGAAGAAGCTAATGGCTTCTTGAAATGTTAATAATGCTTCTTCAATTATTACACAGCATGAAACAAAGAATGCAAGAAGGGGAAATGAGTCTACACACACACTCTCTGAAGATATTTATAGCAGCACAGAAGGCAGTTTGTTAGGGGGTAAGTATTCCTTGGCTGAAATATACAGAAATCATGTGTCCTGTGGTAATACTAGCCAGGTACTGAGATAAGCACTTTATACACGTTATACAGTAAACACACGGGTAATCCTATGAGAAGGTGGAGTTTTCTTTTCCTAAAATAAGAGTGCTTTTTATTTCCATTTTGCATTAAGGATCTGATTTAACCAAGGCCGTGTATCTTTAATCCGTAAACTGCAATTCAAGTCGACTCAAACCTCAAAACCACCTGTGGTGGTTTGAAAGAAAGTGGCCCCCATAGGGAGTGGCACTGTTAGGAAGTGTGACCTTGTTAGAGTAGAAGTGGTCTTGTTGGAGGAATCGGTCATTTCCCACCCCCACTCCCACCCCCACCCTCAACCCTGTAGGTAAGGGTTGCAGGTATACACCATCTGTTTCAGCTGAGCAGTGAGTTCCTTTAATCCCAGCACTCAAGAGGAAAAAGAAGCAGTCGGATCTGTGTGTGAGTGTGTTGGAGACCATTCTGGTCTATACAGCCAGTTCTAGGCCAGCCAAGATTTAAACAAGAATAAGTAAACAAAAACAACCCTGACAAAAGCCACTTAACAGAGAAAGGATTTATTTAGTGCACAGTTCAAGGTCCAGCGGGAAGTTCAAAGAAGCAAGAGAGCAACAAATGCTCTTTTTAACGCTCAGTTTGTTCTCTCCTTCACACAATCCCAGATCCCTGTCCAGGGAAAGGTCTCCCTAGAATTAAGATGGAGCAGGCTTTCCTCAGTTAACATAACCAAGATAGTCCCAGACAGACATGCAGAGACCTATCTCCCAGGTGATCTAAAAGCACAACCACACACAACTTAAAATCTTTTTATTTCCGTGACTTGTAGAAATATAAATTGATAACAATTGCTTAGGAGAATAATTTCACAATCTTTAAAAAACTTTAAGGTGAGTATTTTCTAGGCTCCAGCTATTCCATTTCTGTATACCTGCAGATTAGACATGCTGGTGTTCAAGGATGTCTAGCTCAATGCTGGTTTTGGTAGAAGCATTAGGAACAAGTTATGTAGTCAGTAAAATTTTTTTATAAAAAAGTAATATTCAGTAGAATGAATTAGATCTACATGTATCTACGTGGCTGATTCTCAAAAGGAAAATTTGGAATTATAGAAAGACTGCAGGGTTTTGTGTTCCCGTGCTGGAGGTCAAACCTCTTGACTCACCCATGCAAGGTGAATTCTCCTTTACTTTTTAAAAATGTCTTATAACTGCACATGGAAGCACTTATATGCCAGTGCATGTGTGTAAGCCAGAGGACACTTGTAGGTGTTGGACACAGGAAGGCTATCCACCTTCTTTGAAACATGGTCTCTCACTGTTCTGAACTCCCCAGTTAGATTAAACTGGCTAGGACTGGCCAGCCAGTGTGCTCCAGGCATACCGTTGTTCCTGCCTTCCCAGTGCTGGGATTACACGTAACTGCCACTGTGCACACCTCCATACCCAACATTTTTATGTGGGTGCTAGGTACTGGATTGAGGTCTTTGTGTTTGCAAGGCAAGTGTTTACCAATGGAGCCATCCCTCTAGTCCTGAAAGACTTTAAAAAATAGAGTCATGCAATTTCTGTAAAAATGGTATCCTTTGTAGTTACCATTGGTTACTAGGCAATTGAAAGGTATGTTGAAATTGGAGGCTGTCTCAAATGCTGGATATCATTCACTCATTCAGTCATGCAAAGGAGTCCACTGTTTCAGTCATTCTTGTTTGTGATACCTTGCAAAGCCGGGCTTTTGGAAGTTGTTGTGATAAAAAGTAAGTACTGTATATAGAAAGTAGAGTTGGTGGTGTCCAGTCAGATCCCAGGGTTTGAGAGGCTGCATGGCATCCAGCAGTGTTTGCCTAAGTGGTCAGGATGGTTGCTAAAGATAGTGTCAAGCACTGAATTTTTCATTCAGCACACAGATTTTCAGAGAGTTGATGAGTTGTTAGTTATATAGAACTATATGCTATTTTATACAGCTTTATTGGTCAGTTAATAAGGAGAAAGGATAAGAAAATTTGTTTCTACTATCTTTTATTCTACATTTGCCTTTACTGACACCCTGTAGGCCGTGTGCGTGTGTGCGTGCGTGTGCGTGAGTGCGTGTGTGTGTGTGTGTGTGTGTGTGTGAGTGCCTGTGTATACTAGAGTTTGACTTTGGGGGTCTTCCTCTATTGCTCTGCACCTTATTTGATTAGACAGAGTTTTGAACTAAATTTATTTAATCAGTTGGCTAAAACGGCTGGCCAGTGAGCTCTGGAGATCTGTCTGCTTCTTCCTCTTTGGGACTGTAAACTATAAAAATTAAACACTTATGTGTTTGCAATTATGTTACCATATCCTTCTTTAATCCTTCTTCAAAGAAAAAAATGTATTTTACTGTTATGTGTGTATGAATATTTTGTCTGCATGTGTCTCTGTACACCAGGTGCAGCAGTGCCCTCAGAGGCCGGAAGAGGGCGTCTGCTCCCCAGGACTAGATAGCTGTGTGCTGTCATGTAGGTGCCAGGGATCAAACCTAAATCAAGCACTGTGCACACATCTGTAATCCTAGCTGTTGGTGGTAAAGGCAGGAGGATCATGAGTTTGAGGCTGTCTTGAGTTAAATCGTAGATGCTAAATTAAAAAAGTGTTGTTTTGTTTGAAATATCCTGTAATTCTTAAGAGATGTCATCATTATTTTAAGTATCACTGTAACAATTGTTCTGTAAGTTTATGGTAACTCATTATCTTTCTTTTTTCTAATAAGACATCAACCTTGGGAATTACCCAGAGAGTATACAGAATCAACCAGCTAACACTAGGGTTTCTTCCTTGAGACAATTTGAACCCATCTGCAAGTTTCACTGGATAGAAGCGTTTAATGATGAAAGGACAGTTCAAGACCTCAGGGGGGCATTTTCTCACTCGGAGAAGCCAGAGTTGCAACGGCAGGTGTACAGTGACACAGCAGATGCCAGCGAAGAGCCAGATGCACTTAAGGAAGACAATTCAATGGAAAGTAACATTTCCGAAAATAAAGACGAACTTGTTCATGAGCATGTGAGGAAATCTCCTAGAAGTCTGTGTCCAAACTACTACAGAGAAGAGACGCAGCCACTCACGGAAACGCCATTGGTGAGAAGTGCCGTTGTAGATGTCACCCTCAACATCAGTCAGCCTCAAAGCTTTCTGGGTAAAGAAAATGTCTGTAAAAATGGTGAAAATTTGTCTGATAGTGAGAATTGCTTCGACCAGCTTGACATGAGAGCCATTTATAAAGCTGAGGAGGTAAGATTGATGGCCGACATCATTAAAGCCTGTGACAAGCTAAAGGATGTGGGCATGTTTATACTGTTTGAAAATACAGAATCTGACACTTTTCCGAATAGCATTAAGTCATCAGATCAGTACAGGGACTTTGCTCCCATGGGGATCTTAACCAATCGCATACAATTTTTCCTAATAAATGCAAGCCATACTTAGAGATTAGCTCTACCAAATATGGTTTTTCCCCCTCTAAGGATTCTGACTTACTCGCTGTCCCAAATTCCTTGGTATTTACATCACATAGTAAACATGGTGCCATAATTATAACCCATTTTTATGTGAGTTGTACCAAACCAGCTGGGACTTGAGAGCTGGCTTTGAGACAAAGGTTGAGAAAGGGAGAGTGAGCAGAGGTGTTTATTAAATTATGTGACAAAACAAGCCAAAGATGTTTCTATCTTGTTGGACTTCTTTGGACAAGGAAAAATGAATTGTCTTATATTTTGCTAGTTGTGGTCACATTTATGATATCCTAAAAGCTCTGACATCATCAATAATATAAAGTCTATGAATTCTCTAGACAACTACAGCAAAGAAGAGTTTGATCCAACAGTAGTGTAACAGTCACTTGTTCAATGTGAGTTTCCTAAGAGAAGGTATTACTTATCTATCTGTGATTATGAGAAGGTTTCTCCCCTCCCCCCCCCATTTATTTGGAAATTAGATGGCAGTATTTGAAAGAGAACTTAACTTACCCATGTTGACTTCTAGAAACCAGCATTTCAAAGATTAATTCGGGTTTCTCAAGATTGTTTCTCTATCACATTTAGTATTTTTTTTCTCAGTAGTCAGTAGGTACTCTTGAGAGTCTACTGTGTACCAGAACAGGCTATGTAATGGTTATATGATGTCAAAAAACAAACAAGAAAAACACATGCCTCTTGTCTTCATGAAAATAACATCCTAGTAAAAGAAGCAGAGATTAGCAAATACTCACACAGATGAATGCACTTGACTCTTAGAACTACACAGAGTGGAATGGTTGCCTCTGCTGAGGGTCTTTCTCCAGGCAGAGGGTCTGGGGGAGGCTTCCTTGACATAGTCCTGGGCAACTGTTGGGTGGGACACACGACCAAGGAGCAGTGTGTCCCAACTCCCTGTACTTGCATGGTCTACGATACCTACTAGGATGTCAAGGACACCAAGTGTTCAGGAAACACAGGGCTTTGGGGGTGGGTGGGCAGGGGGTATGGTAGAAGATAGGCTAGGATGGCCGTAGGTAGATAAGCTGTCAAGAGCAGTTAGCAGGACCTTGGAAACCTTGCTTAGATAACTGACTTTATCCCAGGGAAAAGCCATTCAAAGTCAAGGGTTCAACATGTCTAAATTGATATAATACCACGCCTACAGATATCTTTTACGAGGGGGTTTAATGCCATATTCATTTCAGTGATCTATACCACAATTATGCAGTCTTCTGTTACATATGCATACAAACACCAAACATGTATTGTGGGCATATAGTCAGTCCTGAAGTATGCCTATCATTCTTATGTTCATAGGAATCAGCATGGATGGAGAATATTATTAGAGATCTTTATTCAAAAGTCCTTACAGTCTATAGTAATTAGCACATTTGTTTAAAATTGATTTTGAAATCAAAGAAAGCCCCATCTATGTGACCAGAAGGTTTTCATGATAGAAGATGGTGGGAGTCCAAATAGAATTTTTCTTCAAGTAAATAAGATACACATGTCTAGCTTAAGCCTCCTGCTCGTGCTCTGCCATGCTGTTGGAAGTTACGTTCACCAGTCTACTCTCTCACATTTATTCTATTTGCTATAATTTACAGCCTGAAGTTTCTTCGAAAGAAATACAGAATAATGGGGTGATTTCTGAGATGTCAGATAGTCACCAGGAGGAAGTCACAGAAGACGGTATAGACAGTCTAGCCATTACCTCACCATGGTCTCCAGCTGGCATCTTCAAGGGAAGTCGATCTCAGGACCACTTCCTGATGCCTGATAGGGAGCTAGGCTTTGAGAGCTCGGAGCCTCTGGAAGAGGACATGGCTTTAAATGAAGCCTTGCAGAAATTAAGACAGGCTAACAAAAAACAGGAGCTGCAGATCCAAGACCTCCATGGTAGGAACTTGAACTTAGAAAACAGGGTTCAAGAACTACAGACAAAGGTCACCAAACAGCACGTGTTGGTGGACATCATCAATAAACTCAAGGTGAGCATTGAGGAGTTAATCGATGATAAATACAACGTAATCCTAGAGAAGAATGACATCAACAAGAAACTTCAGGATCTGCAGGAGGCTTCAGCTAACACCAAAAAGCACCTTCAGGAATCCAAGAAAGACAAGGAGAGCCTACAGCTCCAGGTGAAAAAGATCAAGGTCCATTACGTCCGCTTACAGGAAAGGTACATTGCTGAGATACAGCAGAAAAACAGATCGGTCAGTCAGTGCCTGGAGATAGAGAAGACCTTAAGCAAGAAAGACGAAGAGCTCCAGAGGCTGCAGCGCCACAAAGGAGAGCTAGAGAAGGCTACCAGCTCTGCCCTGGACTTGTTGAAGAGGGAGAAGGAGATCCGGGAACAAGAGTTCTTGTCTTTTCAGGAGGAATTCCAGAGGCGGGAAAAGGAAAACCTGAAAGAACGGCGGAAATTGAAGTCAAGAGTTGAGAAGCTGGTCGCCCAAGTGAAAAGCTTGCTGTTCACCTGTGAGAGCGAGAGGGCCCAAACCACAGCACTCCAGCAGCAGGTCGATGAGCTGAAGCTGGAGAACTTAGAACTCCGGCAGCAGGCTGCAAAGAAGGAGGCACAAGTTTGCACCCCTAGCTTTGAGATTATTCAGTCAAAGGAGCAGCTGGAGGAAGTGGTGGAGCCAGACATCACCCAGGTATTGATGCTGATGCTGAATTCTAACACAGTCCCCAAAGTTTCATGCAGTCTAGTGCTGGACACTTAGACCGAACACTCAGATATAGTGTTTGTAGGAAGAATTGTTTTCAAAAGAGGGAAACAGAAAGGAAATGCACCACAGATTTAGGAACATTTCTACTGGAGGCTAGGTGCTCACCTCAAAAAACAATAATTCTTGGCTTCTTGTGATGACCTTGGTGGAGGTGATGATTAATCTGGGAATTTTATGGGTACCCATAACCAATGTCTAGAAGGTTCTTTTGAAAAAGGATTTCTTTCTTTTTTTCTTCTCTTTTTTTTTTTTTTGGTTTGTTTGTTTTTGTTTTGTTGGGAATTGTGGGGCGTGTTTGTTTTATTTTAGCTGGCTGCCAGAGGATTTTGGAAGTGTGGTTCCAAATCTTATTTAGCAATAAACAAAATAAAATTTCCCTTTTCCTTACAAACTAAAACATGTGCTATATCAGATATTAGAATTGTAAAGCATTGAAAACAGCATTTGAACCTTTTGTTGACACATTTGGAGAAACCACATTTTTAAAAATGTCATTCTACGGCTTTGGTTTGTTTGTTTTAGCAAAGTTCCCGAAAACACCTCCAGGAAGGGGTAATTTTCATTGCCAGGGCACACACACCTGTTCTATTTCTTCCCTCTAGTATATGAATCTTAACTAAGTAGAGTAAAATCTATTTTGGTTGGCTTATATGCTTGTGACAGGGTCTGGCTATGTAGCCCAGGCTGGCCTGAAACTATGCAGTCGAAGCTGGCCTTGAACTCAAGATACTAATGCCCGAGATCCCGATTGTTATGTTTGCAGGTGTGAGCCACTGCATTGCCTAGGTAAAGTAAGAACTTGTTAGCCAGATGGAAGCAGATCTGGCAGCTGTGGTGGTATATGCCTGTGGATACCTCACTGAAGAACGCAAGCCAGTTTGAGCTAGAAAATTGAACAAGTCTGTTTTACTGTAAAACTTAGCTGCTGGTTGGTTTTTAGGTGTTCTTGCTATGTATGTTACCAGGCTGGCCTCCAATTTCTGGTGATTCTTCTGCCCCTGCCTTCCAAGTAGGACATTACAGGCACATGCCACTGCCCAGCTATGGTTATTTTCCTCTTGTAATAACTTGGACAGAGCTGGTACATTGCCTTGGAAGTGTCATGGAGTCATTTTTATCATCATTATAAGTGTTATTTGAAAGTAAGTTTTTATTTTTTGGAAAATACTGTTGTTGTCTTAGTTTTTTTTTTTTAAATCCAAAACCAAACCAAACACTAAAAAGCTCTCTAAGGACTACCTAGATTAGTGATTCTCAAATTCAGACGTGTGCAGCATGACCTGGGGGGTTTGTTGACATACAGACTGGTTGGGTTGTGCTTGAGAGCACACAGTTCTAGCAAGATCCCAGGGGACACACGTGGTACTGTTCCAGGGGCCCCACTTTCCAGAGCAGCCCCTTCCAACCCAGGGAAACTTTCCAGGTGGCTTAAGTACAGAGTTAATATGACATAGTTTTTTTTCCCCTTAGTTTTCTTGTTAAGAAGTTAAATTCTGCTGGGCGATGGTGGCGCACACCTTTAATCCCAGCACTTGGGAGGCAGAGGCAGGAGGATTTCTGAGTTCAAGGCCAGCCTGGTCTACAGAGTGAGTTCCAGGACAGCCAGGGCTATACAGAGAAACCGTGTCTCAAAAAAAAAAAGAAGGGCTGGTGAGATGGCTCAGTGGTTAAGAGCACTGACTGCTCTTCCAGAGGTCATGAGTTCAAATCCCAGCAACCACATGGTGGCTAACAACCATCTGTAATGATATCTGATGCCCTCTTGTGGGGTGTCTGAAGACAGCTACAGTATACTTACATATAATAAATAAAATAAAATTAAAAAAAAAAAAGAAGAAGAAGAAGTTAAATTCTAGCTGGGGAGTGGTGCCACAGGTCTTTAATCCCAACACTTGAGGGACAGAGGCAGGTGGATCTCTGTGTTTGATGCCAGCCTGGTCTACAGCAAGGGCTACACAGAGAATCCCTGTCAGAGGTTGTAGGATAGGGTAGGAAAAGAAAAAGTGAAGTTCCTAGTCTATTCTTGACCAAAGAATTTTTTAAAGATTTATTTATGTATATGAGTACACTACACTGTAGTTGTGTTCAGAAACACCAGAAGAGGGCGTCAGATCACATTACAGATGGTTGTGAGCCACCATGTGGTTGCTGGGAATTGAACTCAGGACCTTTGGAAGAGCAGTCAGTGCTCTTAACCACTGAGCCATCTCTCTAGTCCCAAAGAATGTTTTTTAACATTTCCAAATTCAAAGTCTTATTGCTCTTTCTTTACTTTAGGTCCATATTCTCAAAATATGGCCCAGAAGCATCTATGACATCAACAGTATTTTTATAGTAATGCTCAGGCATTAGTCTTGTGCTGGAGCGATGCCTCTGCCTTCCGTCCCTGCATCTATTTTGGTGCTTCCTATAGAGTCATTCTGGGCAGAGCATCAGAGCCTCTGTGAAGAGGGCTCCAATGGAAAACCAGTGGCTCTTACAGGTTATGATGGCCCTGGTCTTTGGATCTGTATCTACCACTCTTTTCTCTTCTCTCCCTCCCTCCCTCCCTCCCTCCATTTATTTGTTTAGTTAGTTAATTTTTATTTTTGTTTTTTGAGACTGTTTTATTATGTAACCTAGGCTGGCTTCTGACTTGTAGTAATTTTCCTGCTTTAGTCTCCCATCTGCTTGGATTACAGGTGTGATCCACTATGCCTTGCCTGGTGACATCTTTTATAGTAAGACACAAGCTGTTTGAGAAACAAAGTTGTTTCGAGACTGGCAAGATGCCTGTGTGGGTAAAAGCACTTGCCACCAAGCATGAGAACCTGAGTTTCTGGAATCCATGTGGTTGAAGCAAAGATCTGACTCCCCAGAACTGTTCTGTGGCCCCCACATGTGTTGCACATACAAAATGAAATGAAATGAATAATAAGGATGTTCTTATTCATTGAAGAGATATGAAGAGTATTCTTTTTGTTTATTTTCAAGGCAGGGTTTTTCTGTGGAGCCCTAGCTGTCCTAGAACTTGATCTGTAGACTAGGCTGACCTTGAACTCACAGAAATCCACCTGCCTCTGATTCCCAGTGCTTGGGTTAAAGGTATTTAACACCACTGCAAGGCTGAAGAGTATTCTTCAAAGGGACAGTCAGTTTGAAAGTAGCTCAGACTCTGGAACTCATGTGGTATAATGAATATGTCTGTAGCTAAGCTAATGGCACAGAACAAAAGACACTGCTGTTGCTAGGTATATAACACATGCTTTTATAATCTCAGACATTTGGGCTCTGAGGTAGAAGGATGCCAAGTTCAAAGCCAGCCTTGGCAACATTGTCTTAAAATTTTAAAGAATGGGCAGAGGCAGATAATTGGTGGAGAATTTGCTGTGCATGTGGGAATACCAGTTTTGATATCCTCTCTCAAAAGACATTATTGCTTTCCCCAAGTATATGATTTTTTAGAAACTCTGTGACATGTGGTAATGTAATTGCCCTCCTGGTTGATGAACTGTGTACTAATCATTGTGCTATTGCCATGAAGAGACACCATGAACATGGCAGCTCTTATAAAAAGAAAGCATTTAATATGTGTTTGCTTACAGTTTCAGAGGTTTAGCCCATTATCATCATGTCAGGGAGCAGGGTAGCACATAGGCAGGTACTGGAGCAGTAGCTGAGTGTTACATCATGGTCTGTAGGCCGAGGAAGAGACTCTGGACCTGACATGAGCTTTTGAAATCTCAAAGCCCACCACCCTCAGTGATACATGTCCTCCAACAAAGCCACACCCACTATAAGGCCATGCCTCCTAATCCTTCTAATCCTTTCAAAAGAGTTCTGCTCTCTGATGACCAAGCATTCAAATAAATGAACCTATGGAGGGGCATTCTTACTCAAACCACCACAGGATATATGGATCAAACAAGAGAATGTTTCTGGCTTTTCAACTATAGAATTAAAATTAGTTACAAATGAGCCAGGGTTCTTGCTGTGCTAAGCACAATTAAGACCCTGAGTCTGCTACCCAGTACCATCCCCGAAAACTGCTCCTCCAGTAATATTTTTATTTTGGAAAATATAATTTTAATAAAAGGCCTATTTATGTTGAGACATAATGGATTGTTAGCCAAATGAATTAGTAAACAAATACTCTACAGTGTTCTATTACAATTTCTAATGTAACAAATCTGGTCCTCAATGATTTTTTTTAAAAAGTGTGCTTTGTTTTTCTCAATAAATTCTAAGAGTATAAAGGTATCCCAAGGAAAACTGCTTCAGAACCATTGCTCAGAGCTTTAAGCATAGTCTTTTATCAGGGTTTTATTTAAACACTGACTTGGGTCCTTTGACTTTATGATGATCAATCTGAATTGTGCACATGTAGGATACAAAGGGGACACACTGTAATTTGTTCCTGAATTGCTCGTCTTGTAAAGAAAACCTGGCGCTCCAACCTATGAAGAGAACTTCTCCACTGACCTCTAGAATTCACAGCCTTTTGGCCCTGACAGTAGGACTTCTCACGTGTCAGGTAAAAAAAAAAAAACAAAACAAAACAAAAAAAACTAAACAAAATAAAGAAAAATGTCATATTCTTCAGTTGGAGTGCACTGAGAGAGGCCTATGAGAGGTCACAGAATTAAGTCACAGGAGAAGAAAAGACAGGACCAGACAGAACTCTAGCTGCCCAACCCTCCCTGCTTCCCTGGCTTCGAACTTTTATCTTTGATGTTCAGTACTAACAGGTGAATGTAGTCAGAAGGAGTGATACAGTAGAAAGGAATCTAGTAACTGGCCATCTAGTACTTCCTGTTTCCAGAGCAGTTGTCATGTGTTCTGAGCCTGTATGCTCTTAGTGAGTGTTCACATTAATGAGTTGTTTGCTTAATTAAAACCTAGTTCAGGCAGCAACTGTATATATTGGTAGAATAAACAAGGAAGTAACGGTGTTGGAGAAGTGGCTCAGGAGTTAAGAACGACCCTCCCACAGAACCCAGGTTCGATTCCCAGCATCCACATGAAGATTCAGAACTGCCTATAATTTCAGTCCTAGGGGATCTAACTGCTCTCCTAGCCTTTGTGGGCATCAGACATACATGCAGGCAAAGCACCCATATATCCATAGATTGAATAAATGAATACTTTTTAAATGAAGTATTAATTAGTTCAATTCCTGGCCTTATACATGGTGACTGTGTGACTTGTTCTAGGAACATAACATTTCTCAGCCAGGTTCCTTAATAGGGGACTCCACTTGCTTCTGTCCTGGGCAGCAACTGCATTCAACAAAAGTGATACAGAAAGGTGTGTACTTGCTAGATTGTCAAGTTAGCATTTTCTTCTGTTGTACATTTCTTCCATTGGAAGCCCAATCCTCCGAACTGGTATTTGAGGGCATGGCTTGCTGTGTTTTGTTTTGTTTGTTTGTTTGTTTTGAGACAGGGTTTCCCTGTGTAACCTTGGCTGTCCTGGAACTCACTGTGTAGACCAGGCTGCCCAAAACTCAAGACCACCTGCCTCTTCCTCCCAAGTGCTGGGATTAAAGGTATATGCCACCATCGCCTGGCATTGCCATGTTTTTAATAGAAGACAAAAACCTTTGTCTCATCTACCCAAAGGCGGTTGAACATTAGGATTTGCTGAGTGTGAGATAGCACACTAAATCTTTTGTGTACAGGTCACAGATCACAAAGCTATGGCCCACAAACACATAACTCTGTTTTTAAAGGTTCAAATTAAATGTGGTACAGATCCTTCTTGGTTATTAGCTTTTTCATCCCATTCTTCCAATGGTTATGGATGGTAGTTGCTTAAACTCCCTACTCCCTGATCCCCACCTCCCCACCCCACCCCCCGCCCCACAAACCCCCTTGGCTACTGTTTATTTTTTTCTCTCAGTCCCCTTTGTTGGCTGTTTAGGTACCAGATGTCTTAATGGCAGTGTGCACCAGCCTTCTCAGTGGATCTCACCCTATCTTAAATAACTCCTTCCCATTTGCCTGTTCTGTGGCTCCCACCTCACTCTTTGTTCTGTACCTAATGCAGACTCAAACCCATTATGATCTCGCAGCAAGTATTTGCTGACTTCCTGACCATCCCTGGAGGCATCCACATTTACTGGCCCTGCTATGTTCCGGTCAACCTTGCATCATTCTTTGCCTTATAGACATTTCACTCGGGAAAACAAAGCAAGCTTTGCAAGAGCTGACCTTCTTGTCCCAAGTTTCACAGCTAAGCAGCAGAAGCAAACACAAACTGTTACATGTTAGGCCTCTAGGTTTTCTCGATACAGTTATCTTCATCCTGGCTACTCTCGAACTACCTAGTTGCTATATTGTTCAAGATGTCTGGCCTTTCTAATGTGTCAGAGGTATCGATTTATTTCAAGTTTGCATATGTAAACTGGCCAGGGTAAGGAGCAATGTACATATGAATTTACAAGCATACATTTATCATAGATGAGGATACTACCCATACACTACCCGTTCCTAATAGCAATCTGTATACATGTGTGAACCCACATGATAACTCTATGTTAACTCTCATATTAACTTTTATATTATCTCTTAGTGAAATGATGAAGCGCATTTGAAGCATGGGACTCAATATGACTCATCTCCTCTGGCCCCTTATTTCTAAACGGTTTTCCTTCTCCGTTTTGGCTTCAGCGAAAGCCTTTCAATCTAGTTTCTCAAACCATTATCCTTAGGACCTCGCCATTCCTGATGCCGAGCTTTGCCAAGAGAGTAAGAAAGCTAATGACATAATGCTGCAAAGACTGAAGGACTGTCAGCTTAAAAAGAAAGATTTAGATAAAGAGGTACTGTATTCTTTTTTCTAAAACCTGATTCAACTTAGTGGGAAGAGCTAGCTAAAACATGGCAGTTGCTCCTAAAGTTCTAGATTTGTTTTAAACGTGCTTGGGGACCAGCACAGCTTAATTATGCCTTTTAGAGGTAGATACAATATATAACTTATATAAGTTATATATTTAAGTTATAAAGGAGTCAATACAATATATTGACTCCTTTATAACTTAAATCTCCATTGGAAAGTTTTAGTCACAGGGGTTGATGAGATGGCTCAGTAGCTAGGGATCGGTGCCGCCACACCTGGAGTTTCAAGAGTTGGTTCTTGCCTTCCACCAAGATCTCCAGGGACCGAACAGGCCTCAGCATTCAGCTAACTAGGATGTCTTATACCAAAAGGCAGCCAAAGGAGGGCAGCCAGGGAAAGGCACAGTGGAGCCGCATCCTGGAGGGGTCACAAAATCTGTGCATCATTTCCCTAGGGCGAAATAGTGATCATAGGGTGAGGGGCCATCGGCCAGTTCAGTAAAACCACTTGTCCACAGAAGTTTTATTGAGGGAGTCATGTACCAAAGTCCCACCCACCAGAAAACAGGCAAATGTTGAGTCTCAACAACACAAAATGAACTACAGTGAGTCATTCATGGGAGGGACCACAGACACCTCAGGCGATGCAGGGTTCCAGGTGACTTGCCAGCTTGTCTTGCATAGCCGTCTTGGACCCGCTGTAGGAACTCTCTTTGTCATGGAAGCGGTAAAATCATGACATCATTTAAAGATTGGACTTTACGTAGTTGGATGATTTTATCACAAATGTTTTGGTAGGTAATTTTATTTCTTTCCCTCTAAAGTATAAAAATGCTTTTTTTCTAGTTATTGAAACATAAAAACAGAATTGCGACTCTTAAAGAGTTAATTGCTAATGAAAAGGCACTTCAGGACCACACCATTGAGGTGAGTTCAACATGTTGTTCTTGGCTTCAACGTGCAAATACACTGCAGATATTCATGTTCTCTTGATGACTTTGCTAATGTCCTTCTAGCTCTAAGTTCTGGGTTTTTTGTTTGTTTGATTTTGGATTTGTGAGAGAGGGCCTCTTTGGGTAGCCTTGGCTGTAGTCTCAGAACTCACAGAGATCTGCCTGCTTCTGCCTTCCAAGTGATGGGACTAAAGGGTGGGCCTTGATCCACTGGCAAGTTCTGTATTTCTATGAATCCAGCCTCATATCATACATACACACACACACACACACACACACACACACACACACACATATATATATATATATATGGTGTTTTGCCTGCTTGTCTGTGGACTATGTATATGCCAGAGGCCAGAAGAGGGCATCAGATCCCATGAAGTTGGAATATCAGATGTTGGTGAGGCCACCGTGTGGTACTGGGAACTGAACTCAGGTCCTCTGTAAGATCAGCAAATGCTCGTAACTGCTGAGCCATCTCTCCAGCCCTCTTTCTCTGATTCTCAAGTTAAAATGATACTGTGAAATGCTAGGAGTGTGTAAGTACTGAAATGTGAACAAACATATTTAATCTCAGATCACAGATTTTGATGCAGAAGAGGTCAAGAATGCCAGAGATGCCCCTGTGTTATTGGCAGTCAAACTGGATAAATACCACAACCTAAATGAGGAGCTTGATTTCTTGGTAAGACAGACCAATGCCTTATGGTCCTTTTCATACCCAATGCCATCCATTAAATTTTAAAAAGTTATCAACATTCAAAGTATTATTAAAGTATCATTAAAATATTCATACTGGCACTGTGGCAGTATTACCAACAAAAATATGAAAGTATTGTCATGTACATATCAGGCTGGGGAAATGGTTTGGTGTTTAAGCTGCAATTCTAGAGGACTCAAGTTCAATGCCCAACACCTACAAGGTAGCTCACGACTATCTGTAAATCCAGTTTCAAGAAATTCAATGCCCGCTGGGCAGTGGTGGCACACGCCTTTAATCTCAGCACTTGGGAGGCAGAGACAGGTAGATTTCTGAGTTCGAGGCCAGCCTGGTCTACAGAGTAAGCTCCAGGACAGCCAGGACTACACAGAGAAACACTGTCTTGAAAAAAAAAAAGAAAAAAGAAAAGAAAACCAATGCCCTCTTCTTACCTTTCCGGATAGCAGATATGCAACGAGTACAGACATATATGCAGGTAAACATCCATACAGAGAAAATAAAAATTAATTTAAAATATTCAAATATTGCTCAACATAATTCGTTTTTAGGCTAATAAAATGTATGCCTTTCAAAACAGAGAAGCCGAAAAGTTAATGTGCTTTTATTGTCCCCATTTCTAGAGATCAAACCCAAGGCTTCCCTCATGCCAGGCCAGCATTCTACCTACTACTAGCTGGAACCCTCCTTTTTATTAGTAGTCTTTATCTTTAAAAATGTTATTTATTTGTATGTACGTACATCCATGCTCTCAGAGGCCAGAAGAGGATGTCACATCACCTGTAGTTGAGTACAAGCTGCCTGACGCCGGGGCTGGGAACCAGACTCAAGTCCTCCGAAAGAGCGACAAACGTGCCTTGGACCACTGAGCCATCTCTCCAGCCCGTATTTATTTTTTTTTTTTGAGATAGGATCTTAACTGTCTAGTTCAAGCCAGCCTTCCTCCCAGTGTCCCACCTCAGCTTCTGAAGTTCTGGGCTTACAAGTGAGCACCACTCCCAGATCTCTGAAATTTGTATTTCTTTTCACTGTGGATGAAGCACACTTAAGTTTTTATGTATCCTACTATACTACCTGCATTCAGTCACAATGGTTGGAAGTAACTCTTAGCTTACCTAAGGTGGTATGAAAAAGAATGCAGAAAAAAAATCATGTTATTTTCAAAAATATGATTTTGGTGTTTAGCCAGTTACAGAAAACAATTAAAAAATTGAGTTGGCATAGTGTAATATTCCTTTTTTCATAATATATTTTAATATACATATACAATGTATATTAATCAAATCAATCTCTTTCTCCTTACCATAACTTTGGTTGGAGTTTTGGCTGCTTCCCCACTGATTATTTACATGTTATTATGGACACTAGAGCTATTGCTCTGTCCGTGTTTTGATGCCTGTTATCTATCCTGTCTTCTCCTCATCCTTCCCAGCCTCCAGACATCATTACTGGACATTCACTGTAACTGTTTAAAAGCATCTGTCTATGAAACAGAACATTCAGTGTTTATCTTCCTGAGTCTGATGAATTTCACTTACTTTAATAATCTTCCTGTTCCGTTCATTTAGCTGCATAAATATGTATAACTGTTACACGATAATCAAAGATTGTTTTAAAAAGAGATGGAGATGTGAACTGTCCTAATTTTATCAGGGTAGATTTTACGTGTGTTAGGTTATTACACTGTGCCACAAATGCAATGAAAACAATGCTAGAAATCTCCATGGTCTCACTGAAATGAAAAAGACTAACCATGTTTCTCACACAGCACAGAAGTCTAGCCTTTATTTCTAAATAACTTAAAGCAGAATGAGACACTGTATTCATTATATAGCCATTCACCTTTAAAAGAGAAGGAAAGTGGCGATCCATGCCTATAATTCCAGAACCCTAGAGGCTGAGGAAGGAGGGCTTCAAGGTGAGACTAATTTAGGCTATATATTGAATTCAAGACCATCCTGGCCAACTTAGGGAGACCTTACCTCAAAATAATAATAATTAATAATAATAACAATAATAATAAATGGTCTGGAAGTAGAGCTCACCTATCACAAGCTAGACCCTAGATTCTTTCCCCATCCCTGGAAAGAAGAGAGAAAGGAAAAGAAAGGGAGAGATTGTTGCAGCTTCTAGCATACTGCTTTACCATTGCTCCATAGGGTCCTCCTCTACCAATATGTAAGTCTGTGGAAAGTGTACGAAGACTAAAAATCACCCTTGGCTCTGCTATTTAGTAGGATGTTTTCTGTAGTTTTTCTTCTATAATTGCTTTGAAAATAACTTTCAGAGAAAATTATTAATAAGCTTTCCTAATGACCCTAAATATGCTACTCTCAAATTAACTTTTTATTTAAAACTTTTATTACATTTGATTGGTGTGTGTGTGTGTGTGTGTGTGTTGGCATGCAAAGTGCCATGGCACACATGGAGGTCCGAGGACACCTTGCAGGAGTTGGTTTTCCTCTTTCTGTATGGGTCTGGGGGATAGAACTCAGATCATCAGCTATGGCTATAGGTGCTTTGTTCCACGCTGAGCCATCTCCTCAACCTGTATAATTTAATTTCAGTAGTGTTCTTGCAAAAAAATAGGGGGGGACCAGTAGGCTGGACTGTGAGTCCATGAAGCTGATCCTTAGGCGTGTGTATCGTTTGCAAGGAAGGGTCTGCATCATCACACACATCCCAGCTTTCACTCTGACTCAGGCAGGCCTCTGCATGGGCTGTCTGTGCAAAGTACGGTGATGAAACCTGGAAAAAAAAAGGAGGGGGCAGCTTTAGCTCAGCGGTCACTTCAACAGTGATTCAGTTCACTACCAGCTATTTGTAGCCGGTTCAAACATCACAACCAACCACTTACCTAAGCCTTGAGAGTTTGGTTCAAGACCCGTGGGTGCTTCCTGACTCTTTAAAAAAGAAAAAAGAAAAAAGAAAAGAAAACTGGATGTGATTCGTGTTTGTAGGTACTAGCATACTAGCAGATGCTTGGCTATTTACAAAGCTATTTCACAGTAGAAAATAACAGAATCCATAAAAGTCCATCATAATTCTTGCTTGTATATTGTATATGCAACCTCCCCACCCCCCAGATCTGGCCGTCTGTACGGACTCACTTCATTAGAAGTCAGTTTCAGAGGATAATACAATAAAATAGAGTTGATGGGTTTCATGTTTTTTACACCTGTTTCATGGTGGTTTCCAGGTTACATTTTTGCTGATGTTTCTCCATAGATCACAAAGCTGGGAGGCCTTCTGGAGAGCAAAGAAGACCACTACAGCAGGCTCATCGAGGAGAATGACAAGTACCGGAGACATGTAGGCAGCCTGATAAATAAGGTACACATCTCCCTATAGAAACAAAACAACCTTCAGAAAATGTCCCGCTGGGGTGCGGCCCAGGTGGCACACCGTCTGCCCAGCATGGGCCAGGCTCTTGGTCCTCAGCATAAAAACCAAACCAAACACCGACGATAAACTCAACCCAAACACGTCAGATCTAACAGAACTCCAGTACTAAAGGGATCTGAGGTTTGCCAAGCCACTTTTACCCCTAACAGTCCCTCCTACCTCCCAATGCATGTTAAAGGGCCCCATTAGCTGGGTAGCTGGGAAGTGCCCAAGAACCTTGCTGCAGGCACTTTAAACTCTTAATTTTGTTACTCTGCCTTCAAGATAAGGAAGCATCTTGCCAATTTAGTGTTTACCTTTTGTTTGTTTTCATTTTGGTCTTTCGAGACAATGTCACCATATGTGGCTCCATAGTCTGGCCTTGGAATCCCAATTTCTACTGCCTCAGCCCCACAAGTGCTGAAATTGAAGGTGTGAGCCAACCAGGGCTACATTAATTTAACCTAATAGACTATAATCCTTACCTTGCCCCCGCATCGTTGCGTGGAAGACAGTAGATTACAGCGAGTGTCTGGGACTCCCATTTCCAGCGTGATGAGTGGGTTTAACTCTATTCATATTTCTGATATTAAAATAGAAAAAGGATGTTTTATCTGTTGTAAAATTTTTATTTATTGTTGTCAAATAACTAAACTTCAGCTTGTAAAGATTTTTAAAAGGTGAAAATAAAATTAAATGTAAATACTTGTATTTATAAAAAACATTTGTTTTCTCAAGGTAACGTCGTATGAAGAAATTATCAAATGTGCTGACCAGCGGCTTGAGATATCCCATTCTCAGATTGCACAGTAAGTTAATAAAACTTAATTTTTAAATTTTTTTGTTTTTGTTTTTTGGTTTTTCGAGACAGGGTTTCTCTGTGTATCCTGGGCTGTCCTGGAACTCACTCTGAAGACCAGGCTGGCCTCGAACTCAGAAATCCACCTACCTCTGCCTCCCAAGTGCTGGGATTAAAGGCGTGCGCCACCACAGCCCGGCAATTTTTAAATTTTTAAAAAATATCTACTGATGTTTTGTTCTCTGACTTCTAAGATTTTTTTTTCTCTGACTCTTAGAAATAGGATGGCAGGGCATATATCATTTAGGATAGACTAAAACCATGTTCCCTGGGGCATGTGTCACTTAGGATGGACTAAAACCATGTTCCCAGCCTGGCTCAGAATAAGCTACTTCATTACTTCTCTCCTCTGGGGATGCTCGCTCTGAGTCAGAGTGCAGCCTGGCTTCTGACAGACTGCTTCCTTGCCTTCTGCTGTTTGGAAGGGGCTTAGAGCTTTTCTGAGAATTTTGGTATACAAACGAACTTCTTAAAAAGGTACAACCAGTTTATATTTAATCGAAAGGAAAAGTATCTCGGGCAATTTGAGACTTACAGTTTTGGATTTCATTTAGTTTTTAAATGAGGTCCAGCCACAGGAAGAGCTCTTACAAGATGCGACCACTGCCCTACCTCCCCAACATCACACCCCATAGGTGCTAGAGCTACAGACAGTTCAAAGGCTTTATTCTCTCCAACTGACTATCTCATTAGGAATCGGTAGTCTTCACTATGTCCCCACCAACACCAGGTCCATCCTCCTCTTCTGAGTGGAACTACCACCCTGCCAGTGCCAACAGTTGATCCACAAAGCAGACCTGGGCTTGTTGGCACTGCCTCAACTGCCCCCTCCCACCTGGTAGACAGACAGCCACCACACAGCAGACTCCTGGGGGCATTAATGGGCAAGTTGGTGCTGAGAGCCCCAATATTGAGCATGGCAGTCAGTTGGCCATCAACTTTGCCAAAGGCCACCCTGTGCCCCAGAACTAAGCAGGCAGTGTCCTCTGCAGAGTTGGTGAGCACCTATGGGCTCATTTGGAAGCTGGACCACAGCTCAGCAATGGGAACCAGCACACAAGACCTCCCCCTGCAGTGACAGCTTTGTGACAGGGTTACTCCCACACGGTAAAGAGGAACTGCTGAGTACCACCAACTGTTGCTTGCTGAACCACTTACCCAGGGAACCACCCCACAGCTACCCTTCTCCTGCCAGGCATCACCTGCCCAAAGCTCCAATACCAAGAGTTCATGATCCCTGGTTCTGCCTGTCAGAGGATCCCCTAACCCGAGTGGGAGAAGAACAGCCCCCACGTGTGTGATTACCTGAGTGTCTGCTTGCAACCACACAAATGATACACCATACCACCCACAGCTGTGGGTAGACGTGCAGGCTCCAATGAACTGGCCTTGGCACTACTGCAACACACAGGACATGGACCTTCCAGTGTGACCCAGCCTTCTCCAGATGGGACTGCCTCACCTTACACTTCCTGGGCAGCTAGGTGTGTTGGTGCATCTTTAATCCCAGCACTCGGGAATGCAGTGCAGATAGATCTTTGAGTTTGAGGCCAGCTTGGTCTACAGATGGAGTTCCAGGACAGCCAGAGCTACTCAGAGAAACCTCCATCTCATAAAACAGAAAACCAACCAAACCAACAAAAGTTATTTTGCAATCCCAAATTACAGAAGTGCCAGGAAACAGTTCAACCTGTCCCCTATACCACAGCCTTTCACATCCTCCCCAAGATGGGAGGGGACCAGCTGACAAGCCTAGCCTTGTTGATTGTGAAAGTGTAAAACCTGGAGACAGGAATCTAGAAGACAAAGGTCAGTAGATGGGGCTAAGAACCACTCTGTCTTATTCCCGTCCCAAATCCAGGTTAAACAGGATATACAAATCCCAGAGGTAGGCTGGAAGTTTGGGGTATCAGGTCCAAGTTAGGAAGAGGGAAGAAAAGAACTCCCTTGTTTCTGTGATGCAGTGCAAATCCAGAGATCACCCTGTGTGCTTGTCAATTTCTGAAAATGATTATTGACATTAGAAGTGGAAGAAATCCAGGCATAGAAAATGCCCTAAATAATGGTACTAAATGTCGGTCATGGTTCTAAGAGTACAAAATGATCTCCGTTATGACCTAACCCGGGGAAACACATCTGCTTTACGTCCTTAACAGTTTGTTTAGGTTTTTGTTTTCTCTCAATTAATTAGTGTGCATTTTGTATATATACAGACTTGCCTCTCTCTCTCTCTCTCTCTCTCTCTCTCTCTCTCTCTCTCTCTCTCTCTGTGTGTGTGTGTGTGTGTGTGTGTGTGTGTGTAGGTCAAAGGGAGTCAGTTATCTCCTTCCACTGTGGGTTCTGAGGATCGAGCTCAGGTTGAGGTTTGTGTGGAAAGAACTGTTGTACACTGAGCTAGCTCACTGACCACTCCATTCTGCCCACCTTTGGTGTTTCCTGAGCCCTGCCAGCCTGGTTTTTGACGTTCATTTATGTGGTAACTTGACTTCCATCTGTCACTTTCAGTCTGTGACTTGTTTGCTTGCCATAACCATACATTTCCTAGAGACAGAAGAAACTTGGATCTTCCTTTTTAGCCATTCAGTATCTTAATTGATTAATTGGACTTCAACCCATTTAAACTTAGGGTTATTATTGAGAGCTGTGCTGATTCCTGTGACGTGGTTGGTTGTTTTCGGGTTAACTGGATTATCATTTGTTCTCGACTATCTCTCCTATCCATCTGAGGGGTTGTGGGTCTACTGGGCTCCTTGTTCAGAATCTTCCTCCTCTCTATTTAAGGTTCCTTTAAGTGTCCTTTGCAATGCTGGCTTGGTGGTCTTGAGTTGCTTTAGTGTGTATTTGTCTTGAATCATCCATATTTCTCTAATTTTCTGGAAGATAATTTACTGGATATAACAACCTTATTTGGAAGCTAATTTGCTTCTAGGACTTGAAAATATATCATTCCATTCTTCTGGATTTAGGGCTTCCTTTGAGAGGTTTGATGTACTGCGTTTACCTTTGAATCATTCCATTCTTTTCTGGTTCCAGGTTTGATGCACTGTATTTGCCTTTGTACATGAGTTGGTCTTTTTTTTTTCCTTGTAGCTTTTAGTACTGTTTGTTTTGAACTTTTTTTTTTAGCATGTTGATTATGTGCCCTGAAGAGTCTATTAGATATTCTAAATGTCTCTTTTGCTTTGATCTCTCTCTCTCTCTCTCTCTCTCTCTCTCTCTCTCTCTCTCTCTCTCTCTCTCTCTCTCTCTCTCTGCATAAGAATAGAAAACAGGCAAATCTCTAGCAGGCCAACAACAGAATGCTGTGACCATGCTGTGACACCACCAAACATTTTCCTGTGGTAACACAGCCCTAGATCAGGAGCTCTGTCAACACACTACCCTGGGGCTATATCATAGTGCACACACTATGCAAACGAACAAAAACACCTAAATAGTATGCCATATATTGCCATTATCTCTTCTTATCTTTCACCCTGAAACCTATAAAGGGAGAAATTAACCAAGTGTTCTGAATTGCCAGAAAATTGCTCAGCTTCTGTGGTGGTTTGAATGAGAATGGCTCCTGTAGGCTCTTATGTTTGGAGGCTTGGTTAGTGGAACTGTTTTGGAAGGATTAGGAGGTATGGCCTTGTTGAAGAAAGTATGTCACTGGGGGTGGGACTGGAGGTTTTAAAAGCCTGTGCCAGGCCCAATGTCTCTTTTTTCCTCAACATGCTGCTTGTGAATTAAGATGTAAAACTTTCATCTACTGCTTCAGTGCCATGCCTGCCTGCTTCCTGCCGTGATGATAATGGGTTAGCCCTCTAAAACTGTAAACAAGCCCCCAATTAAATGCTTTCTTAAGTCACCTTGGTCATGGTGTCTTCTCACAGTCATAGAACAATAACTAAGTCTTCAAAGAACCTATAAAATATTCATCTAGAAAAGTCCATTTTTGTGTAAAATGCAATTGTTTCTTTCTTTAGTTTGGAAGAGAGAAATAGACATTTGGAAGATTTAATTAGAATGCCCAGAGAGAAAGCCAAAAGGCCAAGGTAAGTTTTCCTTCTGTTAAAAAAAAAAAAGTCTTTAAAGTACATATAGTAAATAATATATTTAATTTTTTCTCCCCTTATATTTTTATTTAAGATAAAAAGATAAATATGAAGTATTTTGTGCTTTCCTAGTGTAAAATAGTTGCTTGATCAAGTTTTCTTGTAGGCCTTGCACAGTGTCACATACCTAAAACCCCCAGCTATCCTGGAGACTAGCCTGCAAAGTTTAGCAAGATTCTGTGTCAAAACCAGAGTTTTTTTATCTTATTTTTGAGATGGTTTCATATTTGTTATTTAAAAAAAAAAAAAACTATGTTTTGCTATGCAGCACAGATTGCAATACAAACTCCTTCCACCAAGTGCCCTGAGTTCTGAGATTACAGGCACAGTCCACCTACCTCATTACTGTCAGGTTTTTGTGGAGCCTGAATTAGAAGGCCAGTCTGCCTGCCCTCTCAGAAGCCATAAGTAGGATACTACAAGGGTTATGAGCAAAGTGCTTGCCTTCAATAAAAACACTTACCTTCTACATGCTTATAAAAGGACTCTCTTTATTTGCATGAAACCTTGAAATCTCTATTTTTCAAAGAGTCTCAGTCAGTCATGTTTCCCAGTGCTGTAGGACATGTTCACAGCCCTGTGGGTTGACTGTAAGAACAGTTGCGTTCTAGCTTCAATGGTACATATACTAAAATTGAAAAGTTAGAAAAAAATCATAACTATTTTATATGATCACCTTACAAACACTAGTTTAAATCTGCTCAGGAGTTTTGATTTCCAAAACAACATGAATTTTCTCTTGAGTTATAGAAACAAACTATGAGATTTATTTCTAGAATTATTTTAAATTATTTTTATGTAATGTTACACATTTACCAGTTGAGACATTTGTTTACTTATCACATTTATATTTGCACTGAATTTGAGGCTTATTTATATGGATTCATTGACTTTGAAACAAAAGAAAAAGTTCACAAGGTGCTCCCACCTTAGTAAGCCCATTTGTGTGAAAACGCCAGAGCCCATGCAGGCTACATCTGTGAATAACTCTGAAGTCTTGGTTGAGCTGCTGACCTCAGTGTGCCAATCAGAAGTTCAGCCTGAGAATTCCTCTACATCTTTTAAAAGTATGGTTCTGATCTGTCCACTTGTCTCTGGCAGTGGCAACAGTTGAACTTCCAGATAAAGAAGTAGTCTCAGATGTCTAACCTTTTAAAATATGTTTTTATTTCATGTAGGCTTCATTTCAAAGCTGAATCTTGGCCTAAGTAAATTAGAAGCCTGTTAAATATAAGGAAACTGTAGCAGAGTATTTTATTCACATGCATCAAATATGGTCCTCACTGAGGATGGTGCTCACTGAGGATGGTGCTCACTGAGGATGGTCCTCATTGAGGATGGTGCTCACTGAGGATGGTCCTCACTGAGGATGGTGCTCACTGAGGATGGTCCTCATTGAGGATGGTGCTCACTGAGGATGGTCCTCACTGAGGATGGTGCTCACTGAGGATGGTCCTCATTGAGGATGGTGCTCACTGAGGATGGTCCTCACTGAGGATGGT